CCCGCCGCAACAGCCACCCCAGCAACAGCTACCCCTGCAACCGCAACAGCTACCCCTGCAACAGCTACCCCTGCAACAGCTACCCCTGCAACCGCAGCGCCACGCGCACGCCCGACCCCCACACAAGCGCCAGCTTTCAAAGCCGAGGCCTCAACGGCCGCGAAGCGAGAGACGCCAACAGCCAACCCACCTGCCACCACCGACCAGCTTCTTTCAGAAGAGGCTCCAGAAACGACCCTTGGCTCAGCCGAAGCAGGGCCTGACGCTGTGGCGGCTTCTACGGCCACGTCACCTGCGGCAGACTCAGAGAATGCTGCCACCTCGCCAGCAACGCCAACAACCACAGCGACAACCGCAGCTGACGCCGATGCGCCAGACCTCATCGACGCAGACCACCCTATGAGCGCGGTCCCGGCAAGCCCACCCAACCCAGAACACACCGCCCATCGCGCCACCGAGACACAGCCAAAGACACCAGCTGCACGTCCTGCCCCGAAGTCAGCCGTAGCAGGGCTGCCACAGGTGGAGATCTCAGCAAGCGTTGCCTGGCTCAATCTAGTAGGTCAAGCAATCTTGTTTCTTCGAGCCTATTGCGTAGGCCTATTTCTCATCATGCGCCTGTCCAAGGCACAGGCAATCGTTCCTCAGACCTACAATGAGAGGCAGCAGAACTACGCGACCTTCAAAAGGCCGGTCTTTGACTGACGTCCCTGACAAAAACACAGATAACGCAAACACACACGCCCGCAAACAGGCACACAGTGCGCGGCATCAATGCCACTCACTGGGGGGGGGGTTCAAAAGCATAGCGAGGGGACTCTACAGGGAGGGGGGATCAAGCATTGCAAGCGGGGGGGGGTCACGCCCCTAAATTGGGGCAGCGTCGCCAGCAACACCAGCATCACCAGCACCAGCATCACCCACACACACACAAAAGCATACACACAGGACATCAATACTGAGTGCGTCAATGCTCGCGCAAACAAACACACAAGCGCAATCTCGCGCGCACAGACACACCGAGCACAGATGCGCGCACGCATGGGCAGACATACAAACACACACAAACACATCCATGCAGCCACACATGACCGCAGACACGCGCAGAGGCACACAAGCACGCATAAAGACACGCCCCCTTGCCGCGACGCAAAGACACGCACAGAGCCAGAGCGTCACTGCAGACCTTTACGCAGACTTGCCACGGATGCTTCGCTTTTTCACCACCCGCAGGCAGATATCAGCTGAGAATGCCACTGCCGCGATTCCCCAGGAGCTCACTACTGCTTGGCAGGAAGCAGTCAAGTCGGGCTCAAAAGCTGCCAAAAACCAGCTCTTCTCGCTTTGGTGCGCTGCAGGGGGCGATTGGGGGCAGTTTCTCCGACGCACCCAAATGGTCATGTGTTTCGATGATCCAAGTGCAAAGAAAGAGTAGAGTTTATGCTCTGTTCCCTTTTTTGCATGCGCCTAAGGCTGAAAATTTCCCATACTAAATCCAGAGAGGATCGCACTACGGCGAGAAAGTCTTACGGCGGCTTGTCGCACACATGTGTGAAACGCTCGAGTTGTTTACCGAATATTCAGCCCAAGGATGGAGAACACGTGACCAACTTTTGGTCATGTACGGTGGAAATCAACAATTGGTACAAGATCTTCTGGCTCGGAAGAGTGCCGAAGGGCACATGAAGGAACACCCAGATCACCCAGAAAACGCGATGATGAATATGTATTGGGCGCCTCTTAGAGATAGCTACGGCACTCATGCAAACGCATATGTGTACCTTGTGTGTCAAACACGGGCTGTGTCTTTGAGGTTCTTCTGGAAATGAGTTCCACACAAGATGACGTCACCAGTGACAAGTTGACGATGGATATGTCTGCAACAACAAACTCCGGGTCTGCCGCCCCTCCGACGCAAAACACTGTTTGTCCGGTGTGGGCCAGCCCTCAAACCCTCGACCCCGACTTGGCCGAGGCTGCTGCCGCTTTGGCAGATCCTGACTCCGTGCAGAGCCTCAGCACCAACTCCACCTACACCCCGCTGGCTAAGTTTAGCAAACCCAACGCGGAAAAGGCAGGGAATGGAGATCCTTCGTCATAAGCCGTTGTTTTTGTGTGTCTGACTGCAGGGGGGCGGCCACGCCGGAGAGGAGGAGAAACTCAGGAAGAAAGAAGAGCGGGAGGAGAAACGGAAACTGGCGAACCTCACTTGAAATGCCAGAGTTCAGCATCACATGGTTTTATTTGACCATTAGCCGTAGTTGTTCCGCAAGAGCCTATCTGCTGAGGAAAGTGATGCCATCTACACCGGTTGAGGCCGCCCAGTGGTTGGCCCCGTCATTGCTCACCAACCTGACCAGTTGCAAGATGTACCCGGTCATCCTTCAGGGAATGAAGCACCAGGATCAGCTTCGCTTCTTGACTTGGCTTTAGTTGGTAAGGGCCGGGTGGTTTCCAACTTCGGATTTGACCTTCTGGGGTGTCATAAACATTGGCCATTCTAGCGTCTGATCATGTACATGTGGATTCCACCCACAGACAACACATCCATGCCTTGCTGTTTGAAGCAATTTCCACACCACCCAAAGGGAAGCAACTTCCACAACCCCCTGATGAGAATGTCCCCTATAGTACAAGCTTTCGATTTGAACGTACCACCGGATGCCTGAAACACAGGAACGACGTTGATGAACCACGCGGAGGAGTTGGAAAGAAGCTACCACCAGGTGCGTGAGTACTTGGCCCAGGTGGCGCAGGACTGAAAACAAGTGCCCTTTCCAGAACTTTATGATGCTTTATATTTGGCCCCCTTTGCCAGGACCGAGAATCCGTTGTGACCAGTTCCTTTTGGGCTGCGATAAAGCTGGCAAAGCAACGCATTGATATGTATGAACAAGACCGCAACGCTGCTGACTCCCTGGTGAAAATCTCCAGAGAGAAGAAAGAAAAAACACCGAAGGCCAAAGCTAAGGCCGGGGTTCCGCACTTCGAAACCCATTGGTCCACGTCTGGCTTCTGCCTGGCAGGCAAAGGCCGCTGCGTGAGCAAGTCCAGCAATCCGGAGTTTGTTTCGGACACATGTGTGGCGCCAGAGCGATCCACATGTGGCTCAGTTTCTTGAAAGCGCGCCTCTGGCGCAAATCACGTTGCTGTGCTTCGAACACTGATGTTTGGCCAAACGTGTTGTTTCATGGAAGCATAAGATCCGAAAACATTTTCACGCAAAGGCGCAGCAACGTGTTGGGGTTGGCAGGCAAACATCAACCAGTGATGTTACACACCTGCTTCTGGGGAACCTCGTAGCTAAGTTGGGCAAAGAGCTCATCAATGCTTGTGGCGAAAACAAAAGGGTGTTGTGTCTAAATTCGCAGTTTGAAGGGATAGGAGTGAAATTGCGACATGTTGGAGCTTTGTTGATCCGGACCCCAGAACTTTCATTGACTCATGTGCCTGCAGGTGTGCGCTTCAAGCACCGACAAGAGCCAACTTCAAGTCATCAGGCGTGGCTCTTCGCTTGTCAATTCGGCGGGTTTCATGTAGAAAAATGCATCAATAAGGAGCTCGGTACCCATGGGAGCTTGTTGCAAGGAGCCTTGGTAGCTATGGATATGTTTGTCCATGAGAGCTCTCATTTGTTTTCCGTTTTTTCCCATGGTGAGGCAGCAGCCTCATCATCATCAAAATCAAAACCGAAGCCTTCGCAAGCGCCGTGGTTGAGACAAAGCCAGGAGCTGTGGATAGTTTCCAACCCCCCCCAAAAAAAAAACCAACGAGATCAACGTAGGATCTTCCTCGGCACTAGTGCCAACATTGTCAGTTATAGTTCCCTTCCATGCAGGGATTGAGCCATTTTTAGTTTCCTGCGAAACACACCCAAAAATGCACATGAACCGCGTTTTCCAATATTGGGATTTCAAAAGGTAGCCCTCCATTTGTGTCTGCTGGGCGAGCCACACAACGTTGGATAATGAAAACCCTGGGGCTACCCGATTTCCTTGCCTGCAGGAGCCGACAGCGAGCGACGACCATGGCCAAGGCGAGCCTCGGCCGGATGGATGGAAAGGATCACTGACAACCCATACTTGTTTAATGACCACATTGGTCCACCCTATGCCTTTATTCTTGAGGTCCTTAATTGCCAATAAATGATTCTGACCGTAGCTGGGTTCCCGGGAAAATGTTGGCAGTTTGCAAGGGTTTCCTTCGCCGTGCACCTTCAGTTGTTTCCAACAGCCACCCCTGAAACACCTGCAACTTCAAATCATAAACAAAACTGAGGGGTCCTTGAGTTGTCGGGGTTGTTTTTAGAACCACCATCAATGGGCCAATATTCTAGGGGGTGCTAGGGCCTATGTGTTGAAAAGTGGACCCCCCGGTTGCCAATTCCAAGGATGGAATTTTGAGGTACAGCACAGGACTCATTTCTGATATCCCCCCTTTTTCAAGTGCAGACATGTTTGACAACTCCCTCAAATTAGGTTGCTTGGTGGGGAGTTCGTAGCTCGATTGTTTGGCTTCATGAGCCGGGTTATCTTCAAGGGTTCAATGATGCTGCCTTCCAATGGCACCATACTTTCAGGGCTTGGCAAAACATGCCCGAGGCTTCAAAGCAAAGACTGGGTGATTTTCTCATGCAGGAGTTCTCGTTTGGAAGGAGCAGCGGGGCCAAGGCTGGGGGTCCTGGCCCTCATGATGATAAAATCCAATGTATGTTGACCAAAGTTTTCTTTGGCCCCCTTCTTACATCTGTCAATGAAACATCAACTACTTTGGCGCCATAATCGAAAAGTTGTCAACAAGACCCTTTCTTTTCCCTGAAGGTAAGGGAGCTGGCCGAGAAGGCTGTTGAGTGGGCGGCATCTTTGGGCATGGATGTGCCTTCTGATGACATGGTGGCCCGGATCGCCAAATTGGGGGCCCGTGGCAAGCACTCGCAAAACATTGAGCGGGACCTTCACTCTTTGGGCAGAACGCTGGGGCCTACACTCAAAATTCCTGCCATGCCCGTGCCAACACGCATTTATGATTACAGAACAACTGCCGTGACGTGGAAGCAAACCCATATCATTTACCCGGATGACATCCTGCTGTCCTTATGGGAACAAGACCGTGAACTGTGGAAACAATTGTTGGTTGGGGACACGGATTTGGCGGGTTTTTGGGAGCGATGTGGCCGGAGCCACTGGTTTCAGCACCACCCCTGTTACCACGAAGAAAACAAATCCAAGCTGATTCCATTTTCCCTTTATGGGGACGAAATCCAGTGCTTCAGAAACACAGAATCTGGCAGTGTTTCTGTGATGGCGTGGTCAAGCGACATGGCCTTTGACAAGCCGCCTTTGCACAGATACTATTTGACCGCAGTGTATGCTGAACAAACTTCAACCGACTACACATACAATGATATTATCCGAGCTTTGCTTCCACGCCTCCAAAAGCTTTTTTCAAATGACGAATCGTACCCATGGGTGCGAGAAGGATGGAAATTTGCATTTTCTAGTTGCCAGGGAGACTTGAAGTATCTGGTCGAGAAGCTCGGCTTCAACAACTACAGAGCAAACAGATTCTGTAGCCGATGCCCGTGTTCGAAAACCTCTCCCAACGTGGGCCTAACTTTAGGCGACTTCAGGATGGACGCGGAGCACACGAAAACACGATTTCATCACGAAGATTACCTGGCATCATCAAACCCAGAAGATCGCTTCTTGGCTTCACATCGGCGTATTGGTCTGATACATAGGCCCCTTTTGTGTATCGAACCCCTGCCCCTTTCATGTGGCGAACCCTTTTTTGTCTATGCATGGGACCGTTACGTCACGCAGACTCACTTCTTTTTAAAGTGGCCACTCATTTACGGACAGCCCTTCAATTATAGGGAACATGTTGCAATATCCCCTTGATTTAGACCCTTCAAAACCAACTTAATCTGTGGATTTGGATGTATACATCCTTTGCGAGAAATATATCCACCACTTTGACATATATGCAACACCACCTGGCCCTTCACATATGCATGGCCCCCTTTTTTTTGCTTTCTTTTGTAGCCTGCACCGCCCCGTCATCTGTGCATGGGACCCTTCACATATCCACCACCCCCTTGTCTAACGGGACCCCTAAATATACGTGTGTATACATACATTATATATCGCGGACTCTTTTCATGCCTTGCCTTGCGAGGCTCGCCTGTTTGGGGCATTCCGGGCAGCCGGAGTGACCGCCTGCTCCATGACGCTTGTCACGGGCAGCTGCTCGGGACGGGCAAGGCCGCCAACGGGTCTTGTCTAGTGTATTTGTGCGAACGATCCGCCTTTTCGCGGTGGCCTCTTGGCGGCGAATACAAACTCCAGCTTGCAGGAACGCTGCGATCAGCGTACACGTGTTTCCGATCCTGGTGCAAGACTCACGGGTTACAGTGCACTCAGCCTCGCTTCACACCATCACGTGTCAACCGTGCAGTGCGCTCAAGCTTTCCTTCTTTGAACTCCAAAGCTGCGCCATCCAAAATGTTGACTATGTGGCTGACAGATGTTGCAACGGCGTGGGCCGACAAGCCAACCAGCACGGCGCTGGACCGTGAGGTCGCAGTTTGCATCCACTCGTATGCACAAGCCCTTCGAGTCATGGACACGGAGCCGCTTCTGATGTCGGCTGAGTCTGCGCAGGCATATTGCGACCACGTGCTGCTCCACTTGCAAACATACGCCTACTTGCACACGCAGAGCTTCAACACTGCTGGTTCCGTGCCGAATCGCGCCAATTGGCAGCTGCTGCCAAAGCACCACTTTTTTTTTCACTCCGCCCTCGACGTGCTTGAAGCTGGGATTAACCCAAGAATGTACTCATTGCTATGCGGCGAATCGTTTATCGGCGTGCTTGGTCGGATATCCAAAGGATGTCATAGATCCAATGTGTCCTTGCGCTCGATACAGCGCTATCTTTCATGCTTGCACTTCAAGCTTCAGGAGCTGTCGTCACGTCAGCTGGGCTAGTATGGGTGGGTTGTGGTTTGCGACTACGTACGTGCATGGTATATATATATAGGAATCCAGGGTCCCGTCAACTTCCGTTAACCCCACCCAAATGCTCGGCTCAGGCTGCGGCAGTCGTGGGCAAGGATCGAAAAAAGCTCGAGCCGGCTCGCCCGGACAGCCCCAAGCCTCCCCCCCCAAACCAGCCCGAGGGCCCGCGAGGGCCCGCGAGGGCCCGAGGGCCCCAAACATGAGTTGGGAGCCTCTGGGTAAATGTTTTAGGTGAATTTTGTGTGAGTGCTGCCGCTTGTGCCCCTCTGCTTTGGTGATCCTCAGTGGGCTTTGTTAGTGTTTGCTCTCCTGAGTGTTTCTGAAATGTGCTTGAATGATTCTGAATGTTTTTGCATGATTCCAAAGCTTTCTGAATGTTTCTGAAGGCTTTCGCATGTATGGTATGTTCATGTTGTCGCATGTGTTTGACGCTTTTCCCCCCTTTTTTTCTGGGCTTTTGATTGAATGCAAATGCGTTTCCTAAACGGGAGCCCTTTGAACTGCTGCCCGCTCCGTTCCCTTTTCAAAAGGCGACCTTCTATGTCCAGTTCCGTTGAGCAGGCGAGAAGTATATATATATATATATATATTGACTGGTGGCTGGTGTTGTTTGGGAGTACATTCTTTTTGTTGGGAGCTTGGGGTAAACCACAGGGAAGCCACCAATATGGGGTGCTCGCCCTATTTTGACACATCCTAAATACAACAAGCTATTGCTTTGGTTTGGGTAGACCATTTGGGGTTGTGTTGTTTTAAGGGTATCACCGCTCCAGGGGAACCAAACGGCAAACCACATTTTTATTTGGTGTAACCCTGTTTTGGCACCCCCCAAAAAAAACATGGTTCTCAAAGTTAGGTAGGCGCTTGGTTTCCTCCAGGCTTCCCCTTAATCAGGAGGGAACCTCCATGTTATGAAACTAATGTTAGACCAGGTTTTGCGAAAGCGGGGTTACCTGAGTTGGTGGCTTGGATTAGGGCTTCTGTTCTTTTTTTCTTTTTTGTGGGGGGGGGGGGATGAGCAAAAGTGTCGAGTTGGAGGGAGCTTCAGGAAACACTTTGGATTGGTGATTTGGGGATTTGAAGCTTTGGCTATTTTGCAGCGCTGCAACTGGAAAACCGTTCCTTAACCAGCAAACCACCAATCCCAAACCACTAATTAGAGAAAACATCTGAACGTGCCTCTTGGAGGTGATTGCATGTTTGGGGGATGTGGTGTTATTCATTCGCCAGCAGATTCGACACTTTCTTTTGGTAAGGGGGCTACGGACTGGCTCAAGCGCTCATGTCATCTTCTACAGGAACAGAGGTGTTGTTCAGAAGGGCCTTGAGTGGAACAGCTCATGCAACAAGCAGCCAAGAAGCTTTTGACCACTCCAAAACCACCAATCCAAGACACCAGCCAACATGATTCAAGGTTTTGACCACTCCAAAACCACCAATCCAAGACCACCACAACCAGCCGAGCCACCCGCCGAGCCAACTGAAGGACCTGGCGCGGCTCTTGTGCCTGCAGGCGGGGCTCCGTTCCGCCTGCCGCTTCGCGGCGGTGGCCAGAAGCCCGGGCGGGTGCCCGGAGCCTCGGGAGAGCCGCGCAGGAGCAAACATCTCTCTCTCTCTCTGTCTCTGTCTCTCTTTCTCTTTCTCTTTCTCTTTCTCTTTCTCTTTCTCTTTCTCTTTCTCTTTCTCTTTCTCTTTCTCTTTCTCTCTCTCTCTCTCTCTCTCTCTCTCTCTGTGTCTCCCTTTTTTTTTGTGTGTGTGTCTGTGTGTCTGTGTGTGTCTCCCTTTCTTCTCTTTTTTTGTGTGTGTGTGTGGGGCTCTTGCTTTTGTTATTTTTTTTGTGGTGGGGGAGCGGGAGCAGGAGCAGTTCTTTAACACATGTATGTCTTGAAATAGGCCCAGACGTCCAACGCATTTTTGCTTTGGGGGGGATCCTTCAACTGTAACCGGAAGCCTTGGGCAGGGCCTGGGTGCTGACTAGTAGTCTAGGTTCAATGTGGTAAATGTTTCACAATTTTCCAGGCGCTCATTTGGGTACCCAGTGAATTGGTTGCTGGATTTGTGGTTTGGGTGGTTTGACCCTTGAATCTTGCGTAGAACAAGAGGCAAAGAAAGTTGAACACTCTCGTTTGCGTGCGGGGCTGCTTCACCAGCCGTTTTTTGTATTTTGTGAGAGTTCAGGTGATTTGCGTAAAGACGCTTCGTAACATGGACATGTTGGACTGGATTGAGATTTTGTTTACATGTTTTCTTCAGGCATATCGAAAAAAACCTCGATTCACTCAAGTTGTTGCCGCATTGTTTCCGGACATGCCATGTTATTTGGAGCCCCTCACAGACCAGAATGAATTGATGAAGCACAGGGTAGGTTGGCATTTCTTCTGTTTGTCGTTCTCCGGAAATGGTTCTCTCCTCCCATTTGAGTGTGACAGTGTGTGTCTAGAAAGCCCTTCCCAAAGTCCCCCCCCCCCCTTGAAAAAGAACAACAACGTTTGGTTCAACGAAAATGCAAACCATTTCGTTGTGTTCCCAAAACACAACGCATCACAACGCCAAAACGGGTCCCAACAACTTGCTGGTGCTCAGCAGGGAATGACTGAGTCTGGGTGTTGGCAATGAACCGGAGGCAGGTTCCATGAAAGGAAGCCAAATCGGGGATGGTTGTTGTTGCTCATTCCATTTCTCATGCCCTGCCCATGGAACCAGCCAGAAAAAACCACTTGGTGTGTTCCCATAAGTTGCCCCAAAAAAAGGATTTCCTTCAAGGAAACCCATGGGATGGATGGCTTTTCTTGGGGTCACTCCGTTTCTCAGTCCCTGCCTCTCGCACCAGCAAAAAGAAGGGCAGCACCAGCAAGAAAACCATTGGTGTTTGTTTTTTTGCATCTCCTTATTTAGAGGCACACACACACACACACACTTGTCACTTAACTGCTCCTGTTGCCCTCATTCCTGTGAAGTCACTGTAAGGCTGTTCAATCCCAATAAACTTATCCTTTTCAAGGTTGCTTCTTCGGACATTTGAATTGGTTCTCCTCCCATTCGGGTGTCTCTAAAAGTCAGCGTGTGGTGTTCCCATTAATTTCCCCCCCCTGAAACCGGACAAATGCACATTCTTCTGGGGTGTTCCCCTTGGTTTCCACCAAGCAAAATGTTTTCAAGGGCCCCAAGCTGAGGTGTCCTTTTTACGTGAGCCTGTTTAAAAATAGATGGCACTTGTCTAGAATCTATTTTTCCAAAAGGCGACCTCTGGTTGGGGCATGCCTGGGCCAAATGATGATGGTAAAGGCTGGCTCAGCAACTCATGTCGTGTCAATGTGTGCTTGGGCAACATTTCGGCTTTTATGGTCACTTGGAAAGAACTCCCCACCCCAAACCGCTCGCCGACGTCGTCGACGTAGCCGAAGCCAAGGCGTGGCGCGGCTGCTGCCGCGGCTGCGCGCCGAGGCGGTGCCGGCCTTCTACGTGGCCGGGGGGTGCCTGGCCGCTGCGGAGCTGGCGAGCCTGCAGCGCCTGGCCCAGGCCGGCCCCCCCGGGAGACAGGAGGGATGCGAAAAACCAAAGAAAGGTTTTCAGTGGTTTTGAAATCACTTGTGGGAAAGGCTGTTTTGAACAAATGTTGAGCTACACTTGTGGCAGGCTGTGGTTTTGGTGCAACATGTTGACAGACGCCTGTGGAAGGCTGTGCTTTTGTTGCAAATTGTTGACAGGCATTTGTGTGAGAGGGCGTGGTCTTGAACAAGTGTTGACAGACCCCCTTTCTGTCCCTTTGGACATCCCGCTAGCTGTGCTTGGCGAACGTTACAATCTAGGCCCAATTGAAAGTCAGTTTCCTTCAAGTGGGGTGATGTTCAAAGAGCACTGCAAAGTGAGCCCTGCGCGGGGGCCGGTTTCTGAAGCTGGCTGTGGGAATGCTTGCAGGGAAGGGCTCCCAGGCATTTGGAAAGACCTAACCCGTGGTTCTTGTCGGGGGCAAATCGAAACCAGCGGAGTCCAGACCACTTGTGGAAAGCTGATGAGTATCATCCCCCCGTCCCATTGAACCGAGAATCTCTTGACCAGCCAGGAACAAAAAACAATCCCCTCTCCACTAACATCGAACCCAACAGAGGGTCCATTTAGGGACTTTCAGAAACCCCAAAGCCGCCCCAAACGTCACAAAAACCCTCCATTTTCCAGGAACATTGTCTTCCAGGACCCTGAGACGTCAACAGTCAACAGCATTCAATGTCTTTAAAGGAGAATTGTCTTGCAGCACCCCAAAAAACGTGGGGTTCCATGTTCGTCAGGGAGAAGCAACAACGCGTAAAACGCCCCAGGCGCCTGCCGCCGCTTCCGCGGATCCAATCCCCAGCGCGTGGCGCTGGGACCTGCGGTCGCCGATGCCCACGGAGCGGCGGTGGTGCGCCGGGGCGGCCGTCTTGGGCAAGGTCTACGTGGTCGGCGGCCAGCAGGCGGGGCTGTGGGGCTGCTGTCCGGTTTTCCGGTTGTGCGTGGGGGGGGGGGGGGGCAAGGGGCGGTTTGGTGTTTTCGTCCGGGTTTTGGTGGGCCGATTTTTTTTGGGGGAGGAGCGTCCATTCGCGCATTAGTGTCCATTTGAATGCCCTGGGTCAAAGAAGGCGGTTTGGGCCCGGGTTTGAGAATTTTGTCAGTGTTGAAAGGTATCCAATCTTTAATTAGGCGAGGTTGGGAAATGAAATAGATGGGTTCGAATGGTTTGCAAATTGGACACCTATGGAGAGGTCCGGTTTTGGGCCCCAAGAGTCGGTGCGGTTTTGGTAGTCACTGGATTTACCCGAGTCGGCAGTTGATGAATTTAGCTGGTTTCCTTTGAAAGGATCGCCGCTTTTGGAGGTGTCAAAAATGGGAAATGGATGGAACTCTGTTTGGAGACCAAAACCGGTCCTGTGGCTCTTAAGTGCAGCTCTTGGAAACCCTTCTCCATGTGCATGATTGTTAGTCAATATAAAAGGTTCACATGCAGAGACGCCATTTTGACACTCCGATGCTTTGCCTGGACGTCCTCGACTGGGGAATTGTAGCAGCTTGGAAACCATCTGGTAGAACGCTGGAGGGATCCACCTACCTACCGGGGCCACAGGGCCCAAAAGGTTTTTGGACCCAAACGGGCACTGGGTTCCCATTTTGAGACACCAGAGCCCGAAACATGGGGCTATGTACACTTTAGGTTCCGATTTTGTTGGAACCTACATTCTAAACAGAATTTCTTGTGAGCCAATTGAGCAGCGTTTTTCAATCAAATGAAAGGGTTTATACAAAAGGGGAACTGCATGTACTTTGCGGAGGCAATCCTGGTTGGGGGCGTAGGCTCGCGTAGGCTTCAGCGCGTAGGCTGTTGTGTCACCCCTCGCATAGGCTTTTCGCGTAGGTGTTCGTTGAACAAATCGTGGCTCAGTGCTGTTTGCCAAGTATAAATGAATTTGCTTCTTTTGCCTTCATTCTGTTTGTTCTGGAGTCTTCGCGTAGGCTCCGCGTAGGCCCCGCGTAGGCATTCCCGTAGGCTTTCAAGGCATTTTGGGTACGTAGACCTTTTCTGGCAGCCAGATCCGTGGACAGATGCGGGCTTCTTATTTGTACTGCAATTCTGATCTTAGAGCCGGAGCTGCCAAAACTGCACTTGTACTGAAAAGTTGCGATTTTCCAGCTCCGCTGCCACAGTGCACTTCGACACTTGAACTCAACATTTGCCCGCGTAGGCATTCGCGTAGGCACCTGGAAGCTGACTTGTGCTCGCGTAGGCACCCCTCGCAGGCCGCGTAGGTTTGCGTAGGTTTTCGCGTAGGCATGCAAGTAGTGTATAGGCCTCGAACCACCAAAAAAACACTGCTCAATTGTGGTTGTTCAAGTTATAGCCACAGTTGAAGGGTTGGATCTTCAAATTGGGTGAGATGTGTTTGGATCGTGCTTAGATCCTGGAAGCCTTTGTGTTTCTTGGGCATTTTTGGGTGGAAGTGTTTGCTGCCCGAGGACGGCCATGTGTTGGGCACCGCCGAGCGCTTCGACCCGGAGACGAATTCCTGGGAGGCCCTGCCGGACATGCCAACCTGCAGGGAGGCGTGTGCGGTGGCAAGCTGCGGTGCCTGTTTGTACGTCTTCGGCGGCTGCCAGCACGAAGTGCCCCTGGCCATCGCCGAGCGCCTGCAGGTCGCGGAGCCGAGCGCCTGGTGGGAAGGTTTGGAGAACATGCCGTGCAGCCGGGACGCCTGCGCCGCCGCCGCCCTGAACGGCCGGCTCTATGTGATGGGCGGCCGCAGCCAGGGCGCCTTCCTGCGGTCTGCGGACGTGCTGAGTGCCTCGGCGCTCAGCTGGTCGCGGCTGCCTTCGATGCCCACGGCGCGTCTGGGCTGCTCGGCGGCGGCGGGGATGCGTTGGGTCTACGTGTGCGGCGGCCACGCGGGCGGGGGGCGGGCCTTGGCCACGGTTGAGCGCTTCGACGTGGCGGACTACTTCTGGGAGGCCGTGGAGGAGATGCCTTCGGCACGTCTGGGCGCAGTCAGCCTCTGCTGGCAGCGAAATGCCGAGCTCTGCGTCTACGTCTTTGGGGGCCACAACGGCCACGGCGCCGTGCCGGTGGCGGAGCGCCTGTGCACAGACGGCGACGGCTTCAACTTGCGCTGGGAGGTGCTGCCGGATATGGTCACGCCAACCTACGCCTGCGCCGGTGCGGCCATCGCCTGGTGAGGGTTCGCCAGCCCGGGCTGGGATGTCATTTGTGCTGAAAGCTGCACGGGTGCTCCACCCAGGCAGGGCTCCATCAAGAGAGCCGCCAGGCGGAAAACACACATCCGAGGGGCCTTGTGCGTGTGGCATGGGACAGGATGTGACCCCACCGACCTGAGACCTGCAGCTTGCGAATATGGGGCTCGATTCGGTGCACCACTAGGCAGCAGAACAGGGTGCTGTGACACGGCATGCCCACACGCAAACAGGCCGGCTGTTGGTTGCATCCTTTCACAGTTAGTTGCCCAGCTTTTTGACTGGACCACTCTGACTAGCTTGTGCTGGAAGAGTGGGGAACATGGGAATGACTCATGACCCTCTTCCAGTCATGCAAGAGGGGGTGAATACCTTGTCAGTTTCTTTTGGCACTGGAGGACCAGGGCCCTGTGCCCATGACAGCGAACAGTTCGCGGACAGTTTTGTTCAAAGACAAAACCACACACATTCACACGACTTTCCCTTTTTCCTTGCGGAGCGGCTGTTTTTTTTTTGGGGGTGGGACGTCTGAGTCTCTTGTAACGGTCAGCACTTCGAGCATTGCGGGGGGTACGGGGCCCGCCGTTTTCATGGACGCGGATGGCCAGTCCTGGTCCGATTGGAGCTGGCCCGGGAGCCCGGCATGGGATGGACCAGGGTGGGTAAAAGTCATGGTGGCGAGAGCCGGGGAATGGGTTGGAAGGAACCTGGGGTTTTTCCCTTAAAGGAAACCATAGGGGATGGTTGAGAATCGGAAATTCCCTCATTTATGGTTGTTGTTGCGAAAGGTTTTAAAATGTTTGCTTATTGTGATTTAGTGGTTGAAATCCCCACTACTGCTAAAATTGAAACAACAATTGCTCCCCTTCCAGCGTCAACCAAGGGTTTACCCCAGTTCGCTCCAGTTTTCACAGCGGTTTCATCCATTTTCAGCTGGAGGAGGTCGTCCATGGCCAGGTGTCCTTGGCAGTAAACAGGCGCCTGTTTGGATCGGACATCCTCCCGTCCCGTAACATGAAAGCCACTATCGCCCAAGCAAGTGGCCCCATGGCGCCTGCTCCAGATTGATTTCTCAGAGGTGATTCCCTTTTGGGGCAGTGATCAAGCCCCTCCTTGGACTGGTCTCCTTGATCCGTTGTTGCAGGCTGATGCCTGATCCTGTGCATGGACGAAATCCTGCACCAATTTGAAACTATGGGACACGTTGCGTTGTTATTTACAGGGGAGTCAAATTCCAAGGTTTGTTGAGTGGTGCAGCATTTCGTCCATCCACTGTATTTATGGCCATGGCGTTTAACCTTCTTTCCCCTAAAGCATGGTGACAAGGGGGGGGGGTCAGGAAGCCGTCTGATGGTGGTCTTCCCAATAGAATTGAGCTACCAGCGGGTTAGTGCTCCTCATAGGGTATGAAACCTTATGGCATCTTATGGCTATTTGGTAGCGGCTCTTTGGGCTTTAAACTTGTTGGTTGAAACAGGTCGGACTTTCCGCATTGGACCCACATACAGCTCAGCAGTTTTTGCATAGGGGTGAACAGCAACCAAGTTCATAGGTTGGTGCATCGAATGTTCGATGCACCCTGAGCAACAAACGGACACCAACCACAAGTGTTGGGGCACCCTTTTGTCTGGACAGGAGGTGAAACAGGCGTGCAGAGGGCATAGCCCTTGGGCGCTTCATAGTTTCCTTGGATTGAAGGGAAACCAAGAGGAAGCTGACACCTTCCTCTTGAAACAAATCCCGTTGTCCTTCCCTGTTTGTTAAGGTCAAGCGGCTGGGGTAGTTCTGTGCCATCTGAATTACCCTAGCTTGCGGTAGCGTGGTGGGAACCGACAACTCCCGGCCAGTGGGTGTGTCAAATAATAGGATTTGGTTTCCCTTGACGCCAAGCCCAAAAAGAGGGCCATCAAGGACTTTCAGCCACGGGGACGCTCAAAAATGGAATTGGGGAGGGGGGTGACCCCTGAAATTCCATTTGGTTTCCATTTTCCCTTTTGTGGGGACTAGATAAATGGAATTGGGGACCCCCCCACCCCCCTCCTCCTGAAGGCAGAAAAAAATCAGTGAGGTTACCATAGTTGACAAAGAATACAATTTAATGAAAATAATGGAAAGAGCCCCAGACTTCCTAGCAGAACTTACACTTCTGCAATACAACGCAATCGAAATTGGAGCACGATTGGGATTGGACGTTAAGAGGGGGGATGGGGACGCCTCTCGGCTCCGTTCAGAAGGGGGGGGGCTGCTGGGACTTCTCGAGGTCTGGCAGTTGGCCGTGCGCCCAGGCTCAGCGAAAGGGTCTTGCGAGAGAACGTCATTTGTGGCAAGTTGGAGCCAGGAAGTCGGTTTTGAAAGCTGATTTAGAGGATCCGCCAGTAAGGCAGTTGGTTTTTGGGATGTATCCCGAGTTGAGGAATCCTACAAGAATTCTGCGCTCACTTGGGTGTGCACGTCGTGTCGAGCTCATAGATCAGGTGAGACGGTCAGTTGTATTCTGCAAATTGGTCAGAGGCGGGACGAATATCACGCTTAGTCGATTTTTTTGGAATGGATGTGTTGACATTGGGATTCTTGATGTCGAGGTGCGTTTCGACAGGTTTCCCCTGACGGCCTTACCCTCCCCCGCAGCATGAGTTGCATTTGGAGTACGTTAGGCTGGTTACGCCACATTTTGGCATTTCCGTCTTGGATTGATGAGTGATTCCTGTGTCTTCGTAAGAGCCTGGGCAAGCGTTGTTTAGGGCCTGGGGTCACTTTTTGTAATACCAAGCCATCTTTCAAGTGCCAAAGTCAGCACCCCAAGCTCTCGTCGTAGTTGGATCTCAGGGTCTCAGGGTTAAAAAGCTGCGAAAGGGTACAGGGTCACACTTTGCCGGGAGAGGCGAGCCCTTGGTATGGCTGATACGTCTCCTGCCCCAAGCGATTCCATGGACGCTCCCATCCCGAAGTGGACTTGGTTCCATTTCTGGAGGCCTTCTGGGAGCTTCCATGGGTAGCTGGCGTCGGGTTGTCTTGTTTGGTGAGGAGCATCCGAAGCATGTGGCTGCACTCGCGCCTTCAAGGCGTTTCTTTTTTTTTTGGCCGTTCCGACCAAAGTTCCACCGCGCGGCGCCGCAGATTTTCGGACCAAGGGGCGGCCGACGTTTTTTGTTTTTTTGTTTTGTTTTTTTTCCTTTCGGGACCCAGGAAGGCAGCCATCAGGCACCGGTCACCAGTGACAAGCACTGCATACGCGGGGCTGCAAGATGATGATGCTGCGCTTCCTGGCAGCAGAAGGAAGCTCCACAGCCCTACAAATGGTTGGGTTCTGTTGGGTTCCTTCAATCTTTTCCGTGAGAATGCTTTCCTAGTCTTAAACCTGCTTATCTGGCTGCCGGTGTTGGCTGGCCGGCTCGGTTGATCCTGTCCCCTGGTTCATGCAGCTCGCAAGTGCTGATTCAGGGAGTGCCCGTTTAGGGAGGGTGTTTCATGCTGTGCCGTTCACCCCACTTTGAAACCATGAGAAATTATTGTTTCCGGGTACTTTGCAGGGGAGTCATCATTCAAGGGTTTCTTAGGGGGGGGAGGGGGGGTGAGTCATTCAAGGGTCAACCAATGTGGGCAGAAGACGCCCCCTCCAGATTCGGGAATCTGGGGTAGGTCGCATGCAACACTTCAGATTTACTTGGTCGGTGCTCAGTCGGGAAAATGCGCCAGGGGTTTGGGAAACAAGACCTCGATGAGCAGCAAGTGGGCATGGAACCCGAGCAGCTCCATTCAAAAAGCTTCCTGGGCTCCGGGCTGGCCGCTTTCAGGCTTTTATGTGTGGCTTGCTTCGGCAGGGGGATGAGTTGGAATGTCTCCTAGGGAATCCCTAGGTTCATTCCCACCTGGCCTGGGTCATTCCCTACAGAGAATCAGGACGCATTTTTTTGCAGCGGAGTACGTCTCTGTGTTGTTTCCCAACGAACTCTTCGAGGAAAGTGGTCCGCGGCTTAGTTGAAACTTAAACCATCTACCCTCTTTGGGCGACAGGGGTTGCAACTGTTGCCCTCCTTGAAACATGTTCGTGCTTGATTCTCGGTGTGGAAAACGTGTCAACCGGCCCCCCCAAAAAAAAGCCAAACCATTGGTATCCATTGGCTGTTTGTTCTTCAGGGCGGCCAACAAAAGCACCCAAGCTCCAAGGAGACCCAAGTTTCGGAAACGTTGCAAAGTCACCCCGGCCTTTGGTCTGACCATTGGCTCTAGTTTGAGATACTGTGGATGGATGAAATCCTGCACCACTTTGGAACAATGAAAAACCATTGTTTGTTGGCATTCACAGGGAAATCATCATAGGGTTTCCTAGCTGGTGCAGGATTCCATGCATCCACAGTACCCTTTGGGTTTCTCGCCTCTTTTTTGAGGCTTGCTTCCAGAAAAAAACCGCGCGGAGGACGCTCCTCACGGCCCTCCGTTCTGCTGCCCTCGTGCTGCCTGCCCTTTGCGAAGGGCAAGGCCCGTTTCTGGCAGCGAAAGCTGGGCCACAAAACCAAAAGCTGGGCGCAAAAGGGTACCCTCTTAGGGAACTCCCTGGTTTCCAATTGGGTGCAAAAGGGCACCCGACTCGAAAACGCACACGCACACACGCACACCATCGCACACGGATCAGAGCCACAATCACAGCCTGGGTAGATGAAGCTTAGAAAGGGATAGTCCCAACCACCAACAGTTGCGGATATCCGCCGCATTGATTCGTAATTGGCTTTGGGTAGAACATCTTAAATACCGATCGGTTTTGCTTATGACTCCTCTGGAGAACCCAGATACTTTTGCACGGGTTTGAACTCGCCCTTTGGGCTTCTTGCTCTGTCAGTTTCCTTTGGGCGTGAGGGGTGGGGGTCAGGAAACCTGCTCTGGCTAGTTGAAGGTTGGAAGGGGACAGTCCCACCCAGAAACAGGTGCCGCAACTACCACCCTTGTCTGACTCGTGTCCTGCGCAAAATGCCGAGCTCTCCAACAAAAACGGGGAGGGGGACCATGGTTCAGAAGCTTTCCGAATTTCAGGGAGCGACCTTAGAGACCTAAATCGGCCTCGTGCCCCTTTCACCGTGCATGAGGGTCTAGACTGGAACAAGCCCAAGTGGATTCTTGGGCCTTGGCTTGCTTCAGTTGCAAAGAGCCAAGCTTGCTGACATGCCTCCTTCGGTTGGGTTGGGACATTTTGCATTGAAAAGACCTTGTAAATACCAGCCCATTACAAACAAAAGCAAGGGTTGACATGCCCGGGCGGAAAAAATGCTGCAAAAGAGCCAGCCATCACAAGAACATGTTTTTGGCTTGGGTGGGTTGTTGCATACTCGTTCGGCCACGGGGGACCGGGGGGGTTGTTGCGCTGACGGCGTTTTTCCAATGACTGAACTTCCGAAGGCCGTGGTGGATACCTCCGAGGACGGGCTTCCGGCGCTCAGGGCAAAATTTGTTCACCGCGGGGCGGGTTTGGGAGGCAGTGATCTTGCAAATGGAAGGGAGAGATACCCTCCCAGCGAACATGGAAATGCACGTTAGCCCCTCTAGAAAGACTACTTTCCTGTTGGAAAGGGCCTTTTTGCACTTTCATGGTAGTTGGTGGGAGGGTAGGCGCTGAAATGGTCCGCAAAACTTCGGTGCCGAAGACCCAGCAATTTCTCCCACCCAACACGGAACCTCACTGCTCGGGTGTTCAACGCCAGGAAAGTGGGTTGCAACCATGGTGAGATAACTGGGGTGACTGGGGTCAGTCCCGTATAGCCAGGGCTATACCCTACTAAGTTGGTTGAGTACCCTGCCCTTCCTGTCCGTGCAGGAGTGTCAAGAGGACGATGTCAGCACAGATGCCAGCACGTGCCATGGCTGCCCTCTCTATTGAGCAAGACGTGAAACGTCCAAAAAATCGCCACCCCTCCAAAGGAAAGCCAAACGGCGCTTCAATGGGAGCTTAAAGCATGCGTGTTTGAACAAATGGCCTGGCTCGCGAGTTACAGCAAATTCCCACGTTTGGTCGTGATTTAGTGATCTCCCCCCCTCTCCCCCCCACCCCCCTCCCCCCCCCACATTTGGCCAAGTTCAGCGGTGCTGTTCTGCAAGGTGACGCAGGGAAGTGTCGTGGGCTCCAGCTCAACCCAGTTTGTGGCGAGTTTCTGCTTGGGCGGGGAAGCCCGCCATGAAAAGCACCTAGGTATTCTACTTCCCCCAGCTAGGTGCCCTTTCTCGCAACCTTTTTCTTTTTGTTGGGAGGGTTCCCCTACTAAAATAGACTACCTACAGAAAAAAGGGTACCCTTATTCCAACCTCCCTACTGGAGGACCTGGTATTGATTCTTACGGTTTCTTAGCAGCCTTCGCCACGCACGTGCCCGGAAGCAGCCGAGGCCCAACGAGGTTTCAGAGGCCGACAGTGTCTACTGCGCTGCGCCCGCCAATGCCCTGCCGCTCGGCAGATCTCATTCCGCTCGCGCTAGAATTCGGCGGCCGGGTGTCTCTTTTTGGCGCGCGTCGCCGGAGTTTGAACATCATGTAGCCTGAGGCTGCCGAGTGTGGTTGGGCCCTTGAGGGTTCTTGGGTTCTTCATTGGAGGGCTCTGCCTGCAGAGAGGCTACAAGCCTTAGGGTAGACACGTTGAGGAACAGATGACTTTAAGGGAGCCCAGAGGGAAAGGGAGCTCTTCTGGTTGGGTGGCAACACTGCATGTTGCGCTTATCCTTAGGATGAGGTGATTGGTTCACCTCTCACTCCCAGTTCTTGTGTAGTGTAGGGGGCTGTGCATGCACAAACGAGCCCCTGTTTGATGCATATATGCCTTGGATGGTAGGGGATGATGCTTCTGGGGAGATCCTGGCGATGTCACCTACCCAGAGTTTTGCAACCCTGCCCTTTCTTCGGAGACTTTGGTTATATTCGGCTCGTGCATGATGATTCTCTTGCTTGTTCGGCTACGACTCGCCTGGCCACGTCGTTCTCCTCCTGGTGCAGTCTGGACGCCGAGGACTGCAGCGAGCCAAGCGGCCCCAAAGGAGGCCGGAAGCACTTCGGTACGGATGGGGCGAAATCCGTTCGCGACGTGCATCTGCAGGGGGTTCATCAGAAACCAGGGTATCTTAGGTGCGACATGGATTTCATGCATCCAGTATGGTGCGCGTTTGAGTAATACAGTAACGAGAAGGGCCGTCGACTAAGATGTCATCCGTGGTTCCGTTTCTCTGGGCGAGAGGCAAGGCTGGGAAATTCGAAGTGCGGCAGCGAGCTTCGCTAGTCTTCTTGGCGCAGGAACCGAGTGATTGCCTTCAAGGAAGCCAAATCGGGGATGGTTTTTCTTGTCCTTCCATGTCTCATGCCCTGCCTATACCAGCAAGTCCTGCTTGTCGCTGGTCGCCCATCCAAATCGGAGGATTGGTGGTCGCCGGCGGAGGCAGCTGACTCTGGGCGCCTGGGATGTCAAGAGTAGCCCTGGAAAGTGGTCTCCCTTTACTGATTTGTCCTGTGGTTGAAAGCTTGACTGCTATTGGGTTGGATCTTTACACTTTAAACTTTCTGGGGAAATCAAGGGGTTTTCCACCAACCCCCCCAAAAGTTAAACTTTTTGCAGGGGGGTCGTTGCAGCAACCGAGAAAGAAGCGGAATGCTTCGTTCCTGATTGAACAGGTTTACGGTGTCAAGGCTCCCGACATGGTCCGACAAGGATTTCTTATAGCTGTGGGGTTCGGGCAGGGGATGTCACTAGGGGCAACTGCGATCCACTGGGATCATTGGGATTGGCATATCCGTGCTTATTACGGGGTAGTGGCTTGATTGAGTTGAAGGGGGCTACTAGTTCAACGACCCGCATAAACCAAATGTTTGATAGCCCCAGGAATGAGAGGTGTATTGAGCGGTTCCAGGGTGCAATCCTCGTTTTGATAGGGCAGAGGTGGGTCCAAGGTGTTGCGGGCTGCACGCGAGCTGGGAAGTTCATATCTTGGGTGGTCTGATGTGCCACGCGTTTGCCAGATTTCAGGATTGCAGGTTTGGATGGCGAGGCGGCATTGATCCTCCCAAAAAACGTGTCACAAGTAGCGGTCGTGGGCCCTTTTACTCTTGCAAGAGATCTTCTTGTATCTCATGTGTCATCTCTTTGATCACCTTCCCCTTGATGGACCAGTCGGGATTTGAGCGAGGCAACGCTGCCAGTCACCAGGCTAGCCATTTGTGAGCCCGTGCGACCCGCAGCGGCCACGAGGGAAGGAGACTCGCAGCGGGTTTTTTCCATAAATTTTGGCTCCAAACCCGACGAAGACTCTATGGCGCCTATTTGGTACCGGATCTTTGGCCAAAAGAGCTTTGAAGCAGGTCGAGCTTTCCGTACTGGAGCCACACACAAATCAACAATTTGCAGAGGGGTCGTTACAGCAACCCCCACTTTTATTTGCTTAAGAACATGTGTTATTTTCACCTGTTGGTTGTTTAAATGGAATCTATCACTACTGGAAATATGTATTATTATTTTTGCCGGGGGACTTAAGCAAATGGATGCCCACAGGCAAAAACAGGATTTCAGGGAGGGATGACGCCTGCAATCCCATGTATGGTTCCATGTTCTCCTTGAACACAGGAAAATGTGACTCGTCGAGTCGGACCCAAAGGGGTTGGCCGTTATCACTTGTTTTGCTGGAGGCAAAAACATGTTCTGCTTTTCTTGGGTTTCCCTATGTCCCCCGTGCTCGGGTGTGTCTAGGTTGGCCCTGGCGGGCTGCCTGGTGAGCGCCCGCCTGGTGCCGCACAGCGCCCAAGCCTCCGCCTTGCGCCTCGAAGCGAATCGCGAGGTTCGGGCGACATGTGCAGCTTCCCAAGTCTCACGAAGGGAACCCAAAGGTAAAACAAACAGCGGGATGGTCACCCACCTGGGCCATAGGCCAACGGCCAGAGGTAAACCATTACTTGGAGTTAACAGGGATCCGCCTGGTACTCCAGATCCTGAATAACTACAGCTATGAGTATTGTAACTCACTTCCCGAGTTGCGTTTCGGACTTGATCGTCACTTGTGGGGTTTCGTTGCCATTTTAGTGGTAAATGGAAAGTTTGGTTACTTTCTTGGGTCCATCCACTCCGGAAGTGAGAATTGGTGATTCTGATTGCAGATCCACTAGGTTTTCTATAAAATCCCGACCAACATCCGCACCCGATATATGTTTTCGAGTTTGGAGTTTGAGGAGCCTGGCAGTAGCCAGAGGAAGCCCTCAAAACAGATCCTCACTTGAGTTCAGGGACTTTCAACCTTCTTGGGAAGACTATTTCAGGGAGTAACTGCAAGGTTCGATCCTTTTTTTGGCCAGTTCACTCAGGCAATGCGCATCCTGTCCCTTACAGGGGAACCGCGTATGGTTAGCACGGCCCGGGTTACCCCTTTTGCAGACCACAAAAAGGGCAACCCCCTATGTTCTTGTGGTATTCGGAAGCCTGGACAAAAAGGAAACTACCAATTTCTTGGGCGTGCCCTTCTTGTTAGCAATTGCATAGCAATTGCCACAGGAAACACAACCGAAACCAACCATGATCCACAAGAGTCGTGCTTTGATTTCTGTATGAATTTCGCCATCAGCTTTTGGCTATCATTTTTGCAGCGAGTTTCTTTTGGAGGGCTTCACTGCTGTTGGCAAGTGTTTTTTTGTTTTGTTTTTGTTGTTTCTGTTCATTCTCAGTAGGCGGCTGCCAAGAAACAGCCAGTTGTTTGCTACCATGCAAAGGGGTGACATTAAAAATGGGACACGTCAAGAAGCCGATCAGGTTCAAATCTGTTTGTTTCCAGATGGGTCCTTCTGGCTCGGGAACCCCTTGAGGTGCCCTTCTTGGCAGACCTGAAATTCCCCCGGATGGACGCCCAGAATTCTACGCCTCTGGTTCAAGTTGTTTGTTTTTGTTGCTTCTTTTTTTTTGGGGGGGGGGAACTTGTGCAGTGAACCGTGCGGTTTAAAAAGCGCCCGGGTAAGGGAAATTTCGGACACCATGGCCACTTCGTTTTTGTGGCTCATTGAGGAGACGTTTGGAATTTGCCTCGTTATTTGTAGAGGAGGGTAGAGAGGCTTTTTCACGAATCCCTCTGAGTTGGTTACCTTAGATCTCTGTGTTATGTCCGTTCCTGATCCCTGTTACTTACTAACTAGCCCTTGCTTCTTAAGTAGCGTTTTCGAGCAAAAACTGGTTTGGCTGTGCTTAGTGCTTTCTGATGGGTTCGTACCTGGGGTTCGTGTACTGGACTTCATACCTTCAGCCTTTGAAGCATCCAAGGGCCTTGCAGTGTGCACCTCTTCACGGGGGTTCCTTGGCTAGGGTCCCCAGTAGTGCCCTTTTACCCTTTTTTTGGGGGAGGGTTCCCCTACTAAAATAGACTACAGAAAAAGGGTACCCTTATTCTAACCTCTCTACTGCAAGACCTAGTTGCAGTGTGCACCACTTCAAGGGGTTCGTGCCTTGGCGTCCCGAGGCTGTACGCAGACATGGGAGCGTGCCAGGGGACAGCTGGGGAGGGGTCAAGAGATGTGCCCCGAAGCCAGAGCCAAATCCCGGTTAGCCCCCAGTGAACATTCCAATCCCCCACTAAAATAGGTTCTAAAATGGGTGGTGCACCAACCCCAAAATGGTACCATTGGCTTTGACCCACAGCCATATCAATACACAGCCCTTGCAAGTTTCCGACGAACCTAACGTGTTTGTACAGGCCAGTGATTGTTATGCATGGTTGGGGCACGACAGCCCCCACGCGCGCACAATTCGTTCTCTTGACCGGGGGGGGGGAGGGGACAGGGGCGTCTAAACGACTTGTGGGCTGATTGAAGTTGAAGATCAGCCACCAAGACGCCAAGCAACTCTTTGGTGCTTTTTGGTTTGCTTTTTGGGGGCAGAGTCCCTTTAACCCGAAAGGTTGAGGATGTCACATCAGATCAAGGCTTCCGCAATGGGAAGTTGGGCTATCCGGCTTAAAGCATCAACTTTTTCTTGACTGCTATTGGGTTGGATCTTGAGACTTTAACTTTATTGGAAATCAATGGTTTTCCACTAAACCCACAAAAAGTTAAACTTTTTGCAGAGGGGTCAACAGCAACCAAGTTTTAAGCTGCCAATTTTTGGATTGATTTTCTTTCGAAGGGTGATGGTCGTGGGGGACATTTTTGGGAGCCCGGAGCAGTCACGGGTCCCGCTAGCTGCGACGCCCTTGACTGATCCTCAAACGCTTGGGGTGGAGTTCCGCCCTGCGAAGTTCAAGGCATTTCAGGTTTGGCCGCTCCACAGGACAAGGAAGCGGCGCCTCACCATGTATTTTCGGAATGTAAACTAGGTCCCCCAGCTGAGTGCCCTTTCTCACTCTTTTTTGGGGAGGCTTCCCCTACTAAAATAGACCACAGAAAAAAGAAGTTGGGACCCTTATTCCAACCTCTCTACCGGGTGACTTAGTAAAGTCCAAAGGCGTCGGTGTCTATTGACAGCCCGGAATTTGGGGCCCTCTGGGGCGTCTCTGGCGCAAATAATATTTGCAGGCCAACCTCGTTCGTAGGTTATCCTTTGAGCTCTGAAAGCGCCGCTGGCGCCCAAGAGTTTGGGGAGAGCCATGTGAGGTTTGGTGAAACAATAAAAGCTCATTGGGGACCTGCGTGGGGGGTGAGCCCGAAGTTTACGAACAAAAACCATCGACCGCACTCCCTGAGTTTCTGCAGTTTGGACTTTTTGGGTTTGGGCCATGTTAGTGGTCAAGCAACAGTTTGGAGAAAGCATTCTGGCCAAGCCACTCGATCGGTGAGTGGAAGGAACAAGCATTGTCCCATCTTTTCGGGGAAGCTGTGTACATGTTGACCGCTGTAGACCCCTTGCCCAAACCCCCGGCAAGGCGCTGAGGCGCCGAGCACTGCATTGCCTGGAGTCCAATGCTTCCCTTTTGGCTCACCCACGGATCTTTGTGGCTGGCAGGAGCTTTGTGGCGGTGTGGCTGGGCCTGGGGCGCTGCTGGTTGGTCTACCTTTGCTCCTCGGGTGAGGAGTTGGACCAAGGCTGGGGAAGGGAGACCGGGAGACTTCATGCATTTATGGCCATCGAGGAGGCTCGCACGCGTCGCACGCCCAAATTGCGTTCCAAACCAAACGCGTCCCCTGTCAAAGCTCGGTTGCAATCGTCCTGTATTACGGACAGGGAGTCTGCTTTGCGGCATTGGGGTACAAGAAGATGGGTGATTTTCAGGACTAGGAACAAGCAAGTCGCAAAAGACAACACTTCTGAGACGAGGTTGCATTGAGCGCGCGCTACAAGATCCAAACACCACTTGACATGAGCGCGCCAGCCTCGCTCGAGCATTCCCTCACGGCGCTACCATTGGAGGTGCCCTTGATGCCTTGAAGCTGATCCTTCGGCCGGTGAAGGCGGAGACCGATTTCTGGGAGAGTCCGGGAATGAGGCATGGAATGGCCCCGAACCATCCAACTGGCGGTGTCCTTCGAGAATCTCTAAAACCGGTTCACCCGGAAGGTCATCCCCTACTGAGCACCAGCAAGAAGGCACAGACAGATGCCACTTGGTTGCTCTTTGGCTTTGAGTGACTTGGTCGGAGCATGATTCTTTGTCTTTGCAAGTTGTGCTTTTGTTAAACCGGGGTTTGATTTTTTCTGAGAAGGGCAGGGCGGCCGCTCGCTCTCTTTACCTATAAGGGGATGGCAGTTCATTCCTAGGGGGGACATCCACTGGTTCAAGGACCCAGGACGCGGGTCGACAGTCCTTGCATCCTATGCTCGAGATAAGGCGGCCTTACAAGGCTCCTAGGATGTTAGCGATGGCCATGTGAGCTCGAGGAGCTAGGAGTTGTTGCCACACCACATCTAATCTAAGTGGTCTACCTCCACATGTCAAAGCAACCCGCCTGAAGATGCCTCCGGATGAAAAGCCGAACCAAGTCAAGCTTTGAATCAACCACCTGCATGTTTTGGTGATTCTTGGATTTCACACGATTCAACCGGAAGCCAAAAAATGACAACCAAACGACGTGTTTAAAGGTCCAACTCCCGTTTCAGGCTCCACAGGTCAAGCACAATGCTCTTTGCCCCCTCTTTACAATCCGCCACCGCCCTTGTGCTGCAGTGATACGCGTTCCCTTCGGAGATTATATGTATTTTGGGGTGCGGTGATCAATCGGGCGAACCAATTTCCATACAAGTTTGTTTGTGGTTTCAAGTTGCACCAGGGCGCCCATGTGCTTCCGTATTCTTGTCTTGCCGCACCCCCGCTTGCCGCCTTGCAGCCTTGCCAGACGCGCCTGCCTTTTCCAAACAAGCCGGCGGAAGATGCCGACTTCATCGGGCCCTATTTTGGCGCCGGCGCTTCTCTCGAGTTTTGGCAACGTTTGGCCAACCCTCACCCCGCAAATGGATGCGGTCCCCCTCCAACCACACATTGTGTGATTGGAACAACGCATGAACTGAGGGTGGGGCACACTTCCCCAGTGCAGGATATGTGCAAGGGCTGGCAGGGCGTCTTCTCGGCCAAAAACAACCAGCCTTGGGACGCAGACATGGTATGTTTAAGCGCTCGACTGAGCGGCGCAACCTCTGACTCTAAGTCTCTGCCGGGCTCCGATCAGTTGCTTCGCGCTGAGGACGACGTCATGACGGTGGACGGGGCCCAAATCCGCGGGGTTCGCCAGGACCTCAGGTGGCAGGATGTGGCGTGGGCGCCATCGCGGAGGTGCCGGGCTTTGTTCTGATTGCAGGCAAAAATCGCACTCGGGCGAGCCACAATACACGTGGGTCTGTTTTTTTCTTGGGGTGTGACAAGTGGGAGAGAATGTGGAAGGTGGCTGAGCAGCATGACTGTACCGAACCTTTCTGGTAGGGCCCACCTTGGCTGCACCCACCGACTTCCACCCCCTCCTTTCAACTTCGCACCCCCCTCCTCTCCCAATCCAGACCCCAACTGATGCTCCGCAACCGCAACCAGACAGTCTTTCACTGAGGAATTGATCTTCACTCCAACTGGCTGGTCAAGATGGGGCTCCACCTTGGCCTGCAGCAGGGCAACTGCCGCCTGGAAAGCGCTCGGAATGTGGGACCTGCCGCATTCGTTTTGGTGATTTAACCCCGATGTTCGGGTGGGTAGCTCCAGAAAGGCCATTGAGCTAGTCACGCCGGACTTTCTAGGTCCACGGCGTATCACGGCGTCTTCTTTTGAACAAGGCACTCGATCGTTTGGGATCCCTGGACGAGCAGAAACGTGCACGGGATAGCCATGAAATCCACCGGCGAAGCCGAGAACTGTTTAAAGCAGTGGAACTCCGAAGGGAACCAAACGGTTTGTTTGTTTGTGTTTGAACATGTTTAAGCTTGGCGGTTCCCAGCCGTCCGGTTCCTTAAGCTTTTCGGCTTTTGGTGGGTGTAGTGGGCTTCCCAAATTTCACCCACTGAAAAAGTGCTTCACTTCAGAACACGGACAGCCCAGCACCTAGCGGGAGGGTGACAATCGCCCCCTGTCTTAAGCAGACGGACCAGCTAGGTCCTCCAGTAGAGAGGTTAGAATAAGGGTACCCTTTTTTCTGTAGTCTATTTTAGTAGGGGAACCCTCCCCCCAACAAAGGCTAAAAGGGCTGGCGGACCTAGCCAGGGACCGCATCGCGCCGTTTGCGCCTCGAGGCATCGATTTGCTGGTGGTGGATTGGCCGAAGCGTGCGATCATCGCACCCGTGAGGCGCGCCTCGATCGGTCGGTGAATCTTTTTCAGTTTTTTCCTTTTTCCGAGAAAACGTGAAGACGGTCAAAAAGCGGCTAGGGTGCTTGGAGAAGAATCAGAGAGTTGGCCTTGCGGCTCTAAGCCATCCTATGGCGAAAAGTCAGGCATTGGTTTTGGGGCTCTCAGATCAGTGGGCCGTGGGGGGGGGGGGAGGATGGGGCGGGGGGGAGGCATGTGTTTCACCAGCTGGCCCGCCTCCGGCCTGAAATGGCCTTGGCCCCTCGCGCGTTTTGCAAATCCAACCCCCTTGAGTCATGTATGGAAGGCTGGTGGGGGCTGGGATGTGTCTGTGTAGGTGTGGAAGGTTGTTAATTGGCAGGATGACAAGGCTAAGCGTCAACAGCGTCCTGAGCAGGTTAGAGTTGCTGGTGTATTTTCTTGTTTGCGGACCCCTATGGGTTGCGTGGATTAGGGCCTGCCGCTTGCGTTTAGAAATTGGGAAAACATTTCAACCAAACGCTAGTCCCCAGTCCCCTTTGCAATTGAATTCAACTGGGGTTGTGCAAACAATAGTTGTTGGAGCCTTTTGAAAAGGGGTTGGTGCAATCCTGAACTGGCTCCCTTATCATGGACCAAGCCTGGGCTGTCTATGGGTGCCCTCAGTCCATGTGCCAGGCTGACAGTCACGCAAATGTACAAGGACCAGGTGGCCGGCATGCCGATCAGCATTCCAGGCGGGCCAGGGGTGGGGGCTGAAGAGCATACATTACGCACAAATATGTAGAGTATATACATAGTATAGATATATTGGCACACTTCAACGTGAACCAAAAGTCACATACACTTATCCAGAGCCGTAGCAAGGGGAGCCACTGCATCCTAGTGACTATGAGTGGCTGGAGAGAATTCGGGGCCATCTAGGACCAGTAGGGGCCATAACCTTCCTGTGGCTCCCTTTGTGGCTCTGGATCTATACTGTGGACAAAAGCCTGCACCATTTTGATCATTCTTTGCTGGTCTTTGCAGGGGAATTGAATGTTGGTGTAGGATTTCGTCCAGTATTGGTCCCTGTCTTGGGGGCCCCTGAAACCCACGGCAAGAGAGCGCAGCGGCCTCACGAGGCCCATAGCGACCTCCATGCGTTCGAAGAGTTCGCGTGTCCGGCTCCTTCTGGCGAGACCTGCGGTGACGAGCTGGGCAATCTGTCCAAAGTTCAGTGAGCCCTCTGCCGGAAGTTCCCTCCCCGGATTGTGAAAACAAAGTATACATCCTCCAAAGGGCCAGAGGTTCTTCACCATGAGGGGAAGTCAGAAGGAAGCGACGCCCATGCAAGCTGGAATCCAGTCCTTGCAAGGGAGCGAGAGCCTTCTCAGCAACTCTGCACCTTCAAAGCCTGCCAGATCTGTTTGCGGCGTTCTCTTGCTGGCTTGCTGGCCGTCTCCCTTGCAAGTTGCCTAGATAATTCACGTGGCCAACTCATCGCGGGCTTCACTCATTGCGCTCGCCGCAGCCGCGCGCCTCTCGCAACCGCCGCAACCGCGCGCGGGAGATGGCGGACGGCGCACGGCCCCGTGAGATCTATTTTTCGACGTGGAGAATTCCAACTCGGAATCCCTGGCTGTACCCACCAGCTTCAGGGACCGACGGCCCGAAGGGCCCAAATGCTTTTTGACCCCTCAGCCATGGGACGCTCTTTTTGTTTTTTTTTCGACGGGAGCTTTTGGGATCCCCACTCCCACGACTCGCGGCAGATATGCTTGCGGACTCTTGGCACGCACGGGCCCATCGAACAATTGCGCAATTTGCAAGGGGTTTGTAGTCATTGTCTCATGCTGTTTGAGTTGTTGGGTGTTGCCACAGTATGCCACTGTATGTCCAAGTTTGGTTTAGAGTGGATTGAGGGTGGTTCAGAGCTGGTTTACGGTTTGGTTAGGCTTGGCTTAGCAGCAATTGTTCACACTAGATCTGCGCAGTTTCACCGATTCCACAGCGAGCTTTTGGGGAGGCCTCATTTCCGGTTTGTAAGATAAACACTCATCTGGACGGTGTACAATTTGGGAAGTTCATCGAAATGGCGTGCAACAAATCTGAACTTTTTGTGGCCAATCAACTTGGGAGGTGAGTTTAACATGGCCTCGACAACAATTTCATGCTGATTGAGTTTCCTTTCAAGTGATGTTTGCAAACAATGGCAGCCCTGGTTGGCTTTGGAACACGTTAACTTGCGACTTGAACATTGACCCGCCGATGTGTGTGGCAAGGGTGAATACCGAGTCGAAGCGAAAATTCGATGCTGAAGATGCTGGCAGAAGACTGACAGAGCGGTGCCTCTTTGTCAAAAGTGATTTACTTTATGCAGTTTGCAGCAGGGCCTCTTTAAACTTCCTTTATATCCATTTCGGTACAAGCGGCGCTCACTTTCTTTCGACTTCTGCGAGCCAGCCTTGCAACTTCTCAGATCTGGCCAGAAGGCATGTAAAGACGACCTTCCTGGATGGGTACCTGGCAGCACTGCACTGCCCGGGATCAGTTCATGCGCGGAACAGCGCCAAAGGCTACTGCCGTTCAATCGTGGCCTTTCACAGGCGGATTCGGAAAATTCGAAGGGAAGGATTCATGAGAGAGATTTCCTTTTGGTTCCCCTTTTCAACCACCCCAAAAAGGGAGCCCACATTAAAAGACACATCAAAATAGGAAGTCGCCAGCCTTCCTGCAACTCTGCCTGCATTTGAGCCCAGGCTTTTGAACCCTTCAACGGTCCAGGTCTTTAAGCCGAGGCGTTCAAATCGCGCGCCGAAGCGGCATGCTGAGGTCTGGCTGGAGCGGTTGGTGGTGCCTGGCTTGGCGAAGCATTCGCTCACTGAAGAGACTTCAGGAGAGATGTCAGAACACCCTACCCACAGAAGGGTTCCAAAACCCTCATGACTGTTCGAATATTTTTCTCTATCTCTGGTATCTTATTGAATCTATTGCCTTTTTTGTTGGCTATGATGTGGCCTCAGGAAAGAGTGAGATGATCTAAGGTGTTTAAGACACGGAGAAAGGACGGGTGAAAGAGATATAGCTGGGAAATCTACTATTTTGCCTTAATAATTGTTGTATTTTACCTTGCTTACCTCATGATTCATCATGTCATTTGTCTATTTGAAGACAGGCCCGTTTCCCAGAGCGTGCAAGGAGCATGTGCTGGGAACAAGGTTTCTTCACATGCAGCGGACCGATTCCTTTTTCCTGCCGCAAGGACCCATCAACAAGCGGTACGGCGGAAAAATAAGCTCAGGTGATATCCCCAACAGCATGCGGTGCTCTTTTTAGTGCTCGCACCACCTCGTGGAACCCTCGTGGAACCCTGGTGGAACCCTGGTGGAACGTTACCTGAGGGCCGCCTCGAACCACCCCGGAGCCTATCTGAGTTGAGACCCCAAAGCTTTCAGCTGGGGAAAAAAGGGATCGGTTCAAGCCTGGGGTCCTTGGAAAAATTTCTAGGGTTGCTTCCCCATTCTTTTCAACCATAGCTTTTTCCGACCACCGGATCCGTTTTTTTTTTTCCTGGGTTTCCGCGGTTTTCTAGAAAGAAGGATCCCTGGAAAGAATGGGGAGGGGTCTCCTAGAGGAACCTATTCATGGTTTGGACTGTCCCGGGGCCTCGCGGCTTCACCAATCTCAGCTCGCGATATTTGGGATGTGTCAAAATGGGGAAGGTACCCCTAGACAATTGGGTAAATGGATACCAGGTGTCCCAGCTATAGGTGTCTAGTCCGCCGTCTCACTGCCGCGCAGTGAGTCCAGGTCACCTGGATGGCCGCGCGCCCAGATTTTTGTCGGAAGGTAGGGAGTCAGGTCAGAGGCGAACCCTGTTGGTGGGTCGCAGACAAAAAGAGGGCCAAAAGGAAGTCACCCATATTGGGATTCAGCTCATCTTCTGACTCGTTGCGCAATTTGGTTCGATTTTGCAAGCTGGGGTGACCTTTTCACTTTGCAAGCTACACCCTCTTGGGCGAAATGATTGGCCCCGCAGAAACGCAGTAGGTTATGCTTTGGGAAGTATGCCAAACTTGCGCTGAGGCAGGGCGTGTGGGAGGACAGGCATGCGCCAAGTGCCTCTGGCATGTGCACACCGACTGCGGCCGCATTTGTGCATTTGTGGGGAAACGAGGGTCGGGGATGTTGGGTGACAAGTGCTTTGTTCTGGGATGATGTGTGGTTTCGCATTTGGGGTGACTAGCAGGGCCTTAAAGAGTCACAGAAAAGGCCCATTTGCCCACGTATGTTCCCGTGCAGAGGTCGGCCGACTTTTCGTTTGGGCGCTCGGGAGTTCTTTCCAAGAGCGAGCAGCTCTTTTAAATCCTTGTCAAACTAGTTTTGTTTTGCAAAGCGCGTAAACTATAGTCAAAACAAACCAAATCCACTTGGCCAACATGTTGGCTTGAAAACGAATCTTTCTCCCTTCCCTTGAATCCCATGTACTCCCCCACGTACGCCGGGATTAGGAAGGACGGGCCGTCCTGGCCTCGCATATCGAGCCCGACCTTTGTGACCCTGTTGCATCCGCCTGCTAGAAATGCGTCGACGGAGGGATCAGACATGGTAAAAAGTCCTCAGCTTTTTTAGCATCGACTCCGCAGAGGGTCGTGCGCGCACCGCAAAAACCCTGAAAAGGTCCTCAGCTTTTTAGCATGGATCTCCGCAGAGGGTCGCGCTCCCAAGCGATGATCAATCTCCCACCCCGGCGCCTTAGAAACTTGAACTGGCTTACATAGCTGCTTACTCCGAAGCTCCACGCAAGCTCTCTACCTAACCTTGGCTCTGTGCCACTTCGCTCTGTGCCACTTCGCTCTGTGCCACTTCGCTTTGTGCCACTTGGCTCTGGCCAGTTGGCTCTGTGCAACTTAGCTCTGTGCAACTTGGCTCTGTGCAACTTGGCTCTGTGCCACTTGGCTTTCTGCAGATTTGCTCTGTGCAACTTGGCTCTGTGCAAGTTGGCCCTGTTTAACTTGACTCTGTGCAACTTGGCTTTGTGCAATTTGGTCCAAGGGCCCCGCACGCAGTTTAGTTGTCTTCTACGAACACGGTTTCAATCCCTTCTGAGCCCTTGCTGTCGCGAACATTGTTCGCAAAAGATCACCCTTCCCTTCAACGCCGTTGAAAAGCTGGCGGGGCATCAACAAAATGCTCAGGACGTCTCACCAGCGCATCTTGGCACACACCGTTGGCTCAATCCCACAGCGCCAGCCATGCCAAAAGAAAAAGGTCGGTTTTTCCTTGTGGAATGGCAGGCGCCCTTTCCGACGAATTCAACTTCCACGGCTTGTACCCAGCAGCAACCCCCAAGACCATCGCAAGAAGAATGTGGAGCTGCCATGAACTGCCGAAATCCGAAGTACAACATTCTTCTTGCAATGACCCGTTTGGCGTGCCCACCTTACATGTGAAAGGGCGCCCAATCAGGTTGGCCCACGCTGCCGGATGTGGAGAAAACCTAGCCAGCCTGCCCGCTGGCTCACTGAGTCTGGGGTTTACTCCTTGTCCGCACGTCTCCCTTCATCATGCGGAAATCAACAAGATGTTTGATTCCATTGCCTTGCCCAGGCTGCACTGACTTCGATTTCAACACTTGCAAAACGGATCCATCAGCTTTGGGCGCAGCGGACCAACTGAGATTGGGGCCCCTTCTCCCAATTGGCTAGCAGGAAGGGATGCACTGTTGGTGCCGGTGAGTTCTGGGTAGCGCCAATGTGGCGCTTTAGGAGTTGTGTAGAAGTCATTTTATGAGGTATGATGTTTTTTTTTTTTTTTGCGTTTTTTTGGGTTCAGTTCACGTTTAGCTGGCGGTGATTTCCTCGCACAAATGCTTGCGCCCGTGTCCGAGCGCCCCTTGCCAGGCCAGCCGGACGAGCGAGTCGCCGGCGCAGCTGGCCGGGGAGGGGATTGTTTGACCCCGAGGGTCTCTTCGGGACTCAAGTTCTCTTGCTGTTTCGATACGCGGGGAATAAGAACTGGAACAGCCCCAAGAAGACAATCCCCGCTTTGGTTTCCTCAGCTCATTGGATCCGGTAACGGAGTTGGGATCCTTTGATTTGACCTCGATGGCCGTTTGGGTCACCCGAAAATGGGCCAGATCCGGGAGAGTGTGAATGAAGCACGGTATGCGGCACTCCCAGGCCACCACCCCACAGCAGCATATCAACAGGAACAACTTAGGTGAGTCCCATCCCTCATCAAATCGCCCCAGTCCAAGGAGATCCCCAGTCTTGATGTGAGAGTTGGGGGTTAACGTCAGAAGCTGGGCGTCACCGCGCTAGCCGTTGTGCGCATGCAAGATGAGATTGCTTGACATGACGGAATGAGGCATTGCTTTCCAATTCCTGCCTTAACTTGCAGACGTTTTCAGACAGGCAAAACCCGACTAGTAGTTGCTTGAGCCTCATGTTAGACCATGAGGACCTGGCCCACGTGGCTTTTTGCGCCCTGCTGCAACTCATGTGTGCCATCAAGTTCTGTCACAAAGCTTGGCCTTGGCGCTGGCGCATCACAAAGGCAGTTTGTGAGCTGCCGAGATTCGCCAGAGGCGTCGTGAGTCAATTTGTCCGAAAGCCCAGCGATTCAGAGCGGGTCCTTCGCAAGCAGGTCTCCCAGTTGCAGTTGGACTTTGCGCAATCGTACTTCTCCGTCGCAGCAGGTACTTTGTGCCTTTCCGTGTCGGTTTTGCAGAGGAACGTCCTTACTGGCCAGCCTCCGCTCCTATCACCCTTGGCTATTTGGAATTTGTTGCTGTTCAGTTTTTTGCTTGCTGCAACTTGGCTGCCCTGCATGGTGACGGTGCGCTCGCTGAACCTCTGGTACCTCGTTTCACACGCGTTTGTGGCTGTTTGGCTTAGTCCTAACGGAGTCGGTGCGCCCCACGCTCTGGCTGCGCGGCTTTTCTGCCTGGTGGCAGTACAGGCGGAGTGCTCAAACCACATGTCATGCTACAAATGTTTGTGGATCCACCCCTGCAGGATATCAAAAAAGTACTAACAGATCTCGAGTACCAAAAAAACAACTTAATCCGAGTTCTGGCGTCATGGTTTAAGGGAACAATCCGCGTTCCTTTAAATCTAAGAACTGGGGGGGGGGAAAGAATCATTGGCTCCTTTCACCACAAGAAAAGACACACCTCAGTTTTACCTCCTTGGTCCCCCTTTCGCCAAAAGCAAACAGAGTCAAAAAGGGGAGCCTCTTGTTTTGCCCCGAGGTGCCGTGTTTGTTGTTTGTCCAGAGTTGGCTCATGGCGTGCGTGGTTCACTTGGGCGTGGCCGTCATTATAGTGCTGCGGGCGCTGCTCGGCGACGCGGAAGATGCTGCCGACACCATCTTTCAGCATTCGGGCACACTTATCGGAGCCGAGTTCATCATGGCTGCTTGTGTAGGCGCATATTTTGTGTGGGTGGTGAAGTTTACCAGCAAATGTTTGTGGCCGAAAAATAGGGTAGGCCAATTCCAGTCGTAAAGCAAGAAGGCACTCTGGTTGCACGCCCTGGTTGCCACATGTTCTGTTGTGTTTCTTGAAGCGGTTCCTGGCCGAATCTGCAGGCATCCTGGTCCGCTTCGTCTACAATTCCTTCGAACAAAGAGTCGCAGCGCGACTGCGTGAAAACCACGTCTCCTCCCAACTGGATGCTGCCTCTGGCTTGCTGCAGCTGACCTGCGAGGCGGTGATGGAGCTGGACGATGACTTTAGGCTCACAGAGCATTGCCCCAAACTAGCCGCCATGCTCTTGCGAGGCGGCTCTTCCACACAAGGCGCGGCTTCAATTTATCATGGCGGTTCTGGTTCTGGTGGTGGTGCAGGTGGCTCTCATTCGGGCAGCGTGTTTTTTGTTTAATGAATGAAGACACATATTCGCGGCGACATTTTGTACCTGTCGCGTAGGCGTTTTGTTGACAGGGTCACAACCGCGTAGGCATGCGTAGGCATTTCGCGGAGGGTGCTGCGAGCCTTCGCGTAGACAGTCGCGTAGGCGGCCGTTTATGAACCGTTTGTGAGCGAGCTGTGGGTAGCAGCTGTTTTGTCAGCTGCCGCAGAATGGCGGCGAAAGGTGGTGGTCGGAGGAGGGAGGAGGAGGTAAGCTTCGCGTAGGCAGTTTGTCTAAAATCTGACTGGAGGCCCTTCGTGGCACCCCGTTCCTCAACTGCCCAGCGCAGCCGACTTGAAACTCGTCTTCCTCGTGACCTTCCACCGTGCTGTCGAAGCGCAATCGCAACGCACCTTTGCCCGCCGAGTGTTGATTGAGCCTGTGAGCTCCTGGCTGCCGCGTGGGCGGTGTCTAGTCAGCTCGGTCTCGCGTAGGCGTTTTTGTGGGACTTGCGCTTCGCGCAGGCACGGGGGTAGGCGCCGCGGAAGCAAGTAAAAAACGTTAAGGGCCCACACATTAAACAAAAACCGCTGCTCCTTAATTGCTCAAGAGGTACCATTGTGTTTGATCAAATGTTTTCCTTTGACGCATACAGCAGCATGGCATTGCAGCAGGGGGAGCTCTTATTTGCAAGGAAGACTTCCGGTTGTATAGTCGCTGTGTCTCTTGTTTGCAATGCCAGGCCCTCTAGCATCTCTTTGTTCCCCATTCCCAAGCCGGACCAAGGCTTGCGGTTCTGCGAATTCGTTGCAAGAGATGAAGCAGCGAGAGCAGAAGAGATTCTTCGGAAGGACTCTGGTTCCCACGACTCCAGCTCCGTTGCCAAGGCGTTTCACACACATTTGGTAGACAGTTGTGCCAGCAAGTTTCGCACTGAGGTTTTTCAAGTCAAGTACCAACTTCCAAGTGGGCAGAGCCGCCATCTCATTGGCCTGCGTGACTTCACAGATTTGCAATCGCTGGCTGGAAACAAGGCAGCTGATGCGATTCATGACACGGATGACAGAGAGCAGCTTGAACTCTACGACGGTCTCAGCAGCTTGCGTGGGCATTCCGAATCTGCACCTGAGGTCAGTATCCATCCGCAAGCAAGCAACCCTTCTGAGGATTCCAACATGGAGTCCGGGAGACATGGTGGCCGTAGGATTGTGGAGCAAGCGGTTGCGCTGCGGAGCAGGAATATTTTCCTGGATTTGGATGTTCAAGCCATGCAGGTATGTGCTGCTTCCGCCCCTTTGACGTCTTTGATTGGGCGTGGCCTATCAGAAGTCTTTGTGAACTACACGCTGGAGCTATGCACGAGACTATGGCGCCAGGCAACGCAGAGCCCTGACCTGCCAGACAACGTGGTCAGCTTCGAGCGGATGCCGCTCTTTTGCGTGCCCCGTACAATCGAAATCTCGGGACTCATGCAATTGTCCAGGACGAGCCTCGGGGACCTGCACGTGATTTTGAACTTCAGGCCCTCCGCGCTCGTACAACTTTGAGACACTGGGTGAGGCCAACGATGCCTCAAGAATTGGGCCCAGTGGCTCGCGCTTCCTGCGTTTATCGCCTCGGAAAAGTAGAAAGCTAAAGAATCCGACACCGCTTCAAAATCATGGGAAACCATGTTGTGTTGGTAGTCTCAGGGCTTGGTGGTGCGAAATGGAGAACTGGTGGAGCCCCCTAACTGATCCATTTTCCATCAAGAAGGCCCAGGCATAGGGAATGGTTGGTTGGAAGTTGGAAGCCGCAATTTGCAAGCTGATTGAAACAAGTTCCAGGGAAGCGAGCACCTCCATGCCAGGCAGAACGCCCAGCGCCCCCAGCACGGTTCGCGCGATCAGCGGCATCAGCCCGTGGCGCCCAGCATGCCAATCGCGTTCAGGTCGGGGGGTTGGTGATTGTCTATTTATGTTTCCAAGTCGGTTTCCAAGGGTGTTTTGGCACGTCTTGGCAAGTGGTGCCGGCGCCAGCGTTCGGTCCGTCCTCTCTCAGGCGCACCGGAGCGGCGTGCGGAAGGTGGGAAGTTGCCGGACGACCCCACCCAAATTTCCGCCTACATTCCAGTCGACCAGATCCACGTCAATTCGCTATCAGGAAAGAAGAATTAAGACACCGCTTTACTCCATAAAGGGTTTATATTTTTTGCAGAACCTTTTCTGTGGCCAAAATCCGCCACTTTGAGTGGATCCCAGAAAACCCATGATAGGTAACCAACAGTTTTCCTTTTGGGTTTTCTCGTTAGTTGCCTTTCTGTTGCCTGCCATATATATATATATATATCTTTTGGGCCTGCGGCCTCTAGCCGGCTAGGCCTCTTTGAAGTTATACCATGTCATGTCATGTTTTGTGTGAGAAACGTATCCTGTGCTATGATATGGCTGGTTAGGTTTTGCATGTTGCCCACCCCAACCCCCGATGATGCCGGGGATGCCAGCTTTCTGGGCCCCAGCCGGGCCCCAACCCAGAAGGCTCACATGGGGTCGCGCGCGCGCGCCAGAGGCACCAGAAAGAGCAGCCAAAAAAGCCCGGAAACGCAAACGCAACATAACCCCGTAAATAGCAGCGTTTTGTGGCTGGGGTCGCGCGTGCGAGCGCTCGCCAGAAGGCTCGAAAACCGACGGGAAAAAAGCAAGGACCGCGCAGCACGCGAGCCAGCCACAGCAAAAGCAAAACGGACAGAACAATAGCCCAACGCGGATTGCTCTGAAAGTGGTCCGCTGTCGTACCTTTGTATCACGGATGCAATGGCTCAGTGAGCTATGCACATCGAGTGTGTGACATGAAATGCGGTCAATGAGTCCGAAAAACAAACACACCCCCCCGAAACCGTGCGCTCGGGGAGGGGTAAGGGGAGGGGTTACAGGTAAAGAGGTAAGAAGCTTTTCGTATGTCCAACACGCCGTCTGTTGTTGGCGGATATATGTTGCACCTCCCCCCATGGATCTACCTTCCTTACCGCTGGTATGTGCAGTGTTTTCTACTCTTTTTGGGGCTATGGGGAAAGCAGCACAAAGGGCGCATGTCCAAACACAATCTGAAAGCTTTAGGCCAAACTTTCGCAGGGAATCTTGAATCCAGTTTGAATATACCTCTGTCTTATTTCTATTCTGAGGTTTTGTCAGAAAATGCGAAACAACACTTGGCCCAAAAATGAAAACGTAAAGAATGACCCAAAAGTAAACAAGCAAAAAAGTAAAAAGTCTGGAGCCAATGACACAAAAGTACAAAAGTAAAAGGGTAAAGTTCTGGAGCCAATGACCCCAAATCAAAAAAAATACCTATATATATATATAAAGTAAAAAGTAAATGGTTTCAGCCCATGGTCAAAGCATTTTACTTCTGGACCATGGGCTGAATTGTTTTACTTCTTTTTCTTTTCATTTTTGCTGTTTCATTTTTCCTTTGTTACACTAAAAAACAATCACAGTTTTTCTTTTGTACTTTATTTCTCCAGAAATGTACTGTTTCATGTCTACTTTTTTCCTTTTGGGTCTTTGGCTCCAGAAGTATACTCTTTTGACTATTGGCTCCAGTTTGGTTTTGTTTCTTACTTGTTTACTTTTGGGTCATTGGCACCAGAACTTTACGCTTTACTTTTGGGCTATTAGCTCCTGGTTCATTTTTCACTTTCGGGCCATTGGCTCCAACACAGCTGCTGTGTTGCATCTTCTGACTAAACCTCAGCTTAGAATGGACAGGTTTAGGGCGTAGGGTGTTGTGTTTATTGACTCGCGATTGTAGGAATCGGGCTTAATTCTCGTACATGCTTGCTCAAGGAGTTTCTTTGGAGACATGCTTTGTGTTCAAACAAACTCATTGTGACATTGTGTTTTATTGTTCTTCGGTTGGAATTCAAATTGTTCGATAAGGATAAAAACACACACAAAACAATTAGAATTCGTGTCTCGAAACTCACTTTAAGATCATTGTAAAGGAGGATATTTTTCTAGGATTGTGTTTGTTCAATTTTGAATTAGAATTGAAATGGAGTTTAATAAGGAACAAATCCCAGTAAGGGTTGCTAGTTTAAAAATACAAGTGGAGGGTGGCTGTTGTCACCCTGAGATGCTGGCGGGGAAGCAAGGGTTAGGCCGCAGCGTGCTGCAGGTCGCTCCTCTATTTCTCTATTTCTCAATTTCTCTCTTTCTCTCTTTCCCTTTCTCCCTTTCTCCCTTTCTCCCTTTCTCCCTTTCTCCCTTTCTCTCTTTCTCTCTTTCTCTCTTTCTCTCTTTCTCTCTTTCTCTCTTTCTCTCTTTCTCTCTTTCTCTCTTTCTCTCTTTCTCTCTTTCTCTCTTTCTCTCTTTCTCTCTTTCTCTCTTTCTCTCTTTCTCTCTCTCTCTGTCTTTCTCTCTCGGTCTCTCTCCCCCTTTCTAGTTCCAAGATATTTTAAATTGAATTTTCCTGGTCGGTAGAGATGTTGTTTTCAATGTTCTTATTTAAACTGGATGTTCAAACAGAATGATTTATTGGCATAGTGTCAATAGAATGAGTTCTAAAGATATTTACATAGGTGTTCCTGTTCTTAATGAAGATGCTTTGTTCAATTTTCCATTTAGACTTTAAATAGAATTACAACTGAACAACACGTAATATATTTTCTAGTCTTAAAGATGATTTGAATAGGATTCCCATTTTGGAGAGCATGGTTAGTTTGGATCCTTACTTCAACATATATTTTACAGAGAGCGTCCTTTCCCGGGAAATTGTTTCCCCACTTTCGATGTAGACTTGGATGGAATAGAACAAGGAAATAGTGCTAGTAGAATTTCTCACTGTAAAGATAAGTTAAAAATTGCTCCACAAAAGCACATAATTGGAGTTGTTATTCCATATTAGATATTGAAGAGGAGTTCCTTGCTTAGGGTGGGCTGATGCTGGTCAAGTTGCATGGGGCATTCTAAATAACACGCTTGCATTCCATCCCCAAATAGCCTTCAAACAGCAAAAAAGTATATACATACATATATATATATATGTATGTGTGTGTGGGTTTGGGTCAAAAGTAGTCACCAGCAGGGGGTAATCTGCAGGTCTTAGTCCATGTTTTTATGTACCGATCGGGCAACCCATTTTGTGGATTTTTGTTTTCGACCCGCGCCCAAGAATCGCTAGGGACACGCATGGTTTGTCGTTTCTGGTTTTGGACGCAGAGGCCCGGGCCACAGCAGCCGACTGCTTGACATGGAAGGTGTTGGTTGCCAATGACGGCCTTGTTATTCTTTTATTTTAATGTTGGTTTGGGGTGGTGACATGGGAGTGCCACTAATTGTGTTTCATTCATGGAACTCTAGCACTCGCCCGGGTGCAGACGTTTTCAAGGAGCCCAATGGGTAGTTGCTGCCTCATGTTGGAACGTGTGGACCTGGCCGTCGTAGCTGCTTGCGCGCTGCTGCAACTCATGTGTGCCATCAAGTTCTGTCACAAAGCTTGGCCTTGGCGCTGGCGCATCGCAAAGGCAGTTTGTGAGGTGCCGGGATTCGCCAGAGGCGTCGTGAGTCAATTTGTCCGAAAGCCCAGCGATTCAGAGCGGGTCCTTCGCAAGCAGGTCTCCCAGTTGCAGTTGGAGTTTGCGCAGTCGTACTTCTCGGTGGCAGCATGTACGTTGTGCCTTTCTCTCTCGGTTTTGCAGAGGAACGTCCTTACTGGCCAGCCTCCGCTCCTATCACCCTTGGCTATTTGGAATGGGTTGCTGTTCAACTTTTTGCTTGCTGCAACTTGGCTGCCCTGCATGGTGACGGTGCGCTCGCTGAACCTCTGGTACCTCATTTCCCACGCCTATGTGGCTGTCTGGCTTAGCCCCAGCGGAGTGGGGGCAACCCACGCCTTGGCTGCGCGGCTTTTCTGCCTGGTGACAATACAGGCGGAGTGCTCAAACCACATGTCATGCTACAAATGTTTGTGGGTCCACCCCTGCAGGATATCAAAAAAGTACTAACAGATCTCGAGTACCAAAAAAGAACTTAATCCGAGTTCTGGCGTCATGGTTTAAGGGAACAATCCATGTGATTGTGGAAAGCGGTTTGAATGCCGTTTTGTGGATCCACCCCTGTAGGATGTTAAAAGAGTACCAAAAGAGTACCAAAAAAGAACCTACAGGGGGAAGAACAGGTGAAATCCATAAGAACCGCATCCAAACCGTTTCCTAGAGTCAGGTCCAAGGGAACAATCCATGTTCCGTCGAATCCAAGAACTCGGGGGAAAAGGATTCATTGGCTCCTTTCAGCCCAAGAAAGCACACACCTCGTTTTTACCTGCTTGGTCCCTTGCGCCGAAGCAAAAATAATGAAAGCGAGCCCTTCTTGGGCCCCGCAGGTGCCGTGCTTGTTGTTTGTCCAGAGTTGGCTCATGGCGTGCGTAGTTCACTTGGGCGTGGCCGTTATTGTGGTGCTGCGGGCACTGCTCGCCGACGTGGAAGATGCTGCCGACACCATCTTCCAGCATTCGGGCACCCTCATCGGAGCCGAGTTCGTGATGGTTGCTTGTGTAGGCACATAAATTGTGTTGGTGGTCTCCTCTCATGTCGGAAAGCAAAGAGGTTTGCTGAGTCCTCCATTTTGAGCCAAGCTCAGAGGTTGAGGTTGGTGCAAAGGCCAACAGAAGTGCACTCTGTTTGCACCACCTCGTGGTTGCCAGATGTTCTGTGCAATCTGCGTTGGTTCTTGAAGCAGGTTCTGGCCCAAGCTGACAGGCATCCTGGTCCGCTTCGTCTACAATTCCTTCGAACAAAGAGTCGCAGCGCGACTTCGTGAAAACCACGTCTCCTCCCAACTGGATGCTGCCACTGGCTTGCTGCAGCTGACCTGCGAGGCAGTGATGGAGCTTGACGATGACTTCAGGCTCACAGAGCATTGCCCCAAGTTAGCTGCCATGCTCCTGCGAGGCGGCTCTTCCACACAAGGCGCGGCTTTAATTTATCATGGCGGTTCTGGTTCTGGTTCTGGTGGTGGTGGGGGTGGCTCTCATTTGTGGCTCAAGATGTATCATTTTGTTTGATCAAGTATTTTCTTTTATTTGACGCATGCAGCAGCATGGCATGGCAGCAGGGGGAGCTCTTCTTTGCGAGGAAGACGTCCGCTTGGATGGTTGTTGTTTTTGTTGTTTGCAATGGGAGGCCCTCTAGCATCTCTTTGTTCCCCATTCCCGGGCCGGACCAAGGCTTGCGGTTCTCTGAATTCGTTGCAAGAGATGAAGCCGCGAGAGCAGAAGAGATTCTTCGGAAGGACTCTGGTTCCCACGAGTCCGGCTCCGTTGCCAAGGCGTTTCACACACATTTGGTGGACAGTTGTGCCAGCAAGTTTCGCACTGAGGTTTTTCAAGTCAAGTACCAGCTTCCAAGTGGGCAGAGCCGCCATCTCATTGGCCTGCGTGACTTCACAGATTTGCAGTCGCTGGCTGGAAACAAGGCATCTGATGCGATTCACGACACGGATGACAGAGAGCAGCTTGAACTCTACGACGGTCTCAGCAGTTTACGTGGGCATTCCGAATCTGCACATGAGGCCAGTTTCCATCCGCAAGCAAGCTACCCTTCTGAAGATTCCAACATGGACTCCGGGAGCCATGGTGGCCGTAGGATTGTGAAGCAAGCGGTTGCGCTGCGGAGCAAGAATATTTTCCTGGACTTGGATGTTCAAGCCATGCAGGTATGTGCTGCTTCTGCCCCTTTGACGTCTTTGATTGGGCGTGGCCTGTCAGAAGTCTTCGTGAACAACTACACGCTGGAGCTATGCACGAGGCTGTGGCGCCAGGCAAAGCAGAGCCCTGACCTGCCAGACACCATGGTGAGCTTCGAGCGCATGCCGCTCTTTTGTGTGCCCCGCACCATCGACATTTCGGGGGTCATGCAATTGTCCAGGACGAGCCTCGGGGACCTGCACGTGATTTTGAACTTCAGGCCCTGCGCGCTCGTACAACTTTGAGTCATTTCCAGCCCGGATCGCATGGGTGAGGCCAACGATGCCTCAAGAATTAGGCTACTCAGGCCCAGTAATTAGCTCGTGCAAACTGCGTTATTGAAAAGTTCGTGGACATACCGGGGCCTGGGACCTGAAACAACCATTTAGAAATGGTGGTTTTCCAAACCGATCCATGTTCCATCAAGAAGGTCCAGGCATAGGACATGGTTGGTTGGGAAGCCAGAATTTGTAAATTGTTGTTTCAGGTTCAAAACCATGGGAAACCATGGGTAACCATGTTTTGTTGGTATTACACTCTTTTTAGTGTGGTGCGAAATGGATTTCATCCATCAATAGTACCAGGAATTAGCGAGCTCCTCCATGCCAGGCAGAACTCCCAGCGCACCCAGCACGGTTCGCGCGATCAGCGGCATCAGCGGCATCAGCCCGTGGCGCCCAGCATGTTCAGGTCGGGGGGTTGGTGATTGCCTATTTATGTTTCCAAGTCGGTTTTCTTTTCCAAGTTGGTTTGCAAGTGTTTTCCCTTTTCCAAGTTGGTTTCCAAGTTGGTTTTCCATTTTTTCAAGTTGGTTTCCAAGGGAGTTTCTGAATGTGTAGAAGAAGGATTCTGGTTCTAGACTTAGGGTCCGGGGGCCAGCATGTGTTCGCCGGATGTGTCGGTGTGTTTGCAAGCGTCCGGACGTGTTCCCAAACGTCCGAGCGGAAAAAACATGTGGGAGCTTTGGCACGTCTTGGCAAGCGGTGCCGGCGCCAGCGTTCGGTCCATCCTTTCTCAGGCGCACCTGAGCGGCGTGCGGAAGGTGGGAAGTTGCCGGACGACCCCACCCAAATTTCCGCCCTCCAAGCTTGGCTTTGTATTTTTGACCTTAAGGCTGATCAGTCCATCGACCTGTATCCCTTGTATTTTGGCTTGGGGGGTTCGGTGGTATTTAGTTTGGGCCTGATGCTGATTAGGTCCAAGAATAGGGAAGCGGGATTTCTTGGTGGTGGCTTGTCCGTAATTCCTTCAACGGGCCATGTCGGATCAAGAAGGTTCCCAGAGCCGAACTACAAACGCAGTGGACCGGATCCGCTTCAAGTTGCTATCAGGAGGGAGGTTTAGGACACCGCTTACTCCATAAAGGTTTCCTGTGGCCAAAATCCGGCCAAAGCCCAGCATATCCCAGCATTTGCGCAGAGCTGGTGCACAAATTGACGTAGGTTTCTGCGGGCCTTCTAAATTGCTTCTTTATTTTCGGGTAGGCTAAACCTCGGTTGGAAAAAGGAGGGGTTTCCCATGGTTTCCCTCCAGAAAAGGCAGCGGGGTTGGCCGGGGCCTCTCTGCCTCTGCCCCCAGAGATTCGATTTCGGGGGGGTTTTGCCCTTTTGGGGATACCACCCACCACCCGGGCTTCTTATCTATTCAAATCGGTTGTATTGATTTACTTATGTTTTATTTGTTGATTTATTGATTTGGTTGTTTATTTATTTGCATATGTTATATATATATATATGTATATATAGATATGCTAATATTTATTATCTCAGCTTGTGTAAAGAAAGGCAATTTTGTGCTGAACAGCTTACGCCCTTGTCGGCCTCACCTCTGCCAGGCTCGGGCCTGCGAAACCGCAGCTCAGGCCTGGGGTTAGCGGCGCTGCGAAACCGCAGCTTCGCGCGCGGCTCGAGTCCCCATCGGCCGAAGCATGAAGCATGGGTAGCCAATCATTTGCGGATTGATTTGGGAACATGAAAAGGTGGCGACTTCAACTTCAATCTGCTGAAATGGGGAAGGGTTCCTTCCATTCGCTGCATGTTCTCAGGATCCATTTGGGTAAGGATGTTGTATCCTTTGGTTTTCAAGTTGGAATGTTTTCCCGGCGAGAACGCAAATGGAGGCTTCTCAGAGGCTCGAAGGGAAGGTTCCCATCCTTAAGGTCACTCCTTTTGAGAGGTTGAAGGAACCATTGGGCGTCGTTGTTCTTTTCTCTTTTTGTTGGGCGGGGGGGACTTCTTTGAGAGGGTTCCTGAAGGGAACCCTTCTTGAGCGGTTTTTGGCGCTGCAAAGCCCACAGGTGCCCCTGACAGATGGCGCACTGAAGGAATTTTGGGTTTCCTTTCCCCACGCCAAAAGGCCGTCCACCCCATGATTAGCAATATGCCTATTTGCCCACGTGGAAAATGTGGAAAGGTCCACCACTTCTTTGCGATTCTGCTTGGTTTGGGGTACAAAAACTCAGACCGTTGGGCCTAATCCGTTGCCATGTCCGTCCGGAGAGAGCGTAGCAGATTGCAGATCTCCAGGCGGCCCTTGCTTTGCGGGAGCCCTAGCGCGCTGAGCCCTGGGCGGCCAAGAGCTGGGTTCAGTTTGGCAATCCTCAAGAGGCTTCGGGGCGATTTCCCAACGAAGTGGCGAGGTTGAGGGGGTTGGTGATATGTACTTACCTACGAGCCCACAGAGCGTTAGGGGGCCCCAGAAAAACTTCATGTGTTTCTAGCCCATACCTTGTTCATTGGCGTAGTTTCCTATTAACATTGTTTCTAAGACCTCAAATCCCCGCATCAAAGCATGAATCATGCATTAGCCAGTTGTCCCGGTGCTGCTTCCGATGCTGGCAGAATCAGGACATGCCAATCGCAAGCCACAGTCATGATCTTGAACTGGGTGTGTCTCAAAATAGGCCACTGAACATTAAATAGGTTGGTTTCCTTACGGGGGTGTGTCTTTTCAAAGGGGGCCCCAATCTTGGCTGATTTTGACAGGAAGCCAAAGCGGAAACCACCAATCTGGGCGTGAGGCTTTGGTCCCTCATTTGCTCTCACTTAGGCCGCCAGCTGGACCCCGGGTGGCAAGGGCCACGGCCTCTGCTCGAAATTCAGTCAACCCTTGATTGCTATTGGGTAACGGATCTTTAGACTTGAACCTTTCGGTTGAAATAGCCTCGCTATGAATGCTGAGATTTGACGAGCAGTGCATTTTTGCAGTTGTGGGTGCGTGAGTCATTTGGACCCTTTTTGGGACCCGGCCTCGTGCCGCCTTTGAAAGAGGATGCCAAAAAAGGCCCCTACTGTTAACAAACATAATTCAGACACACAAGGGCAATGAGGATTGTGCCATCTACAATCACCGCGGCAACACAGATTCAGTTGAAGCGCGCCCAGCACAAGGCAACACCGGGAGAGGCGGAGCGTCCGGATTCCGGACGCAACGTGCACGCAGCGTGGAGCGGGAGCGGCCGAGGCCGGGGAGTGCGTGACATGGCTGGCTTAGATATGAGACACACACCCACACACTGTACACAGGCAGGTACATATGGTTACATAGGTAATCATGCATGTATTGTATGAGTGTTTCGATTCATGCACAGTTCAGCTTTTTTTGCCTACGCGCATTGCATGAGACAAGCAAAGTTGTTTTGCCCGCTGCGAGAAATCTCGGAGCATGAGCGACCCCTTACGTATGGGGCTGCCACTCGCTCGCTTCAGGACAGAGTCCGTGCCGTACTCGCAGAAGAAGTGGATCCGATCCGATGGCAGAGAGGTTGACGCGGGCGTTGCTCGCTTGAGACTTCTCTAAACGGTTGGCCCAGGACTGATTCAAACCTATGCTAGGTTGCATGATCATGTGATCGAATTGCCGCGCAGCCATAGAGATCTCTTTCCGAAAGGTGTCCGAACACCTTAGATTCCGATATGGGGGTGTCCCCAGAGACCCTGGCGCTCCAGAACAGTGCAGCCTCCGCTGCCATCATCGAAGAGTTCAAGGACCCAAGATGCTTCCTCCAGAGGTACCCCCACCAATTGACATGGAACCAGGGGTCCAAACCAGCACCCCCCCTGACAGGTTCCATGTTAAATTGTGGGAGGGTAACCACAAGGAAACCCTTGGTGGGGTTCCTCAAGAGGAGAGATTTCTCTGGGAGTTGTGTGGGCGGCTGTCAGAAGCCCAACGGTTGCAAACTTGGCAAGCAGTCGGCCGCTTCTAAGCAACCGTCATTAGTTCCCGAATCCCGAAGTGTGCGGCGTACCGGGCCTAATAGACCCCTCCCCATGGCCGTCTTTGTTTGTACCCCTTTTTCTGGTTGGCTAAAAGGGAAGCCAACAAGAAGCCTTTGCCATTTCTGGGGGGTCCATGATTTAAGACACCAAGAACACTGTATGGAAGGAGGGGCTTCCTGGTGCAAATAGGTCCGCTCAAGCGTGACAAGCCTCTTAGAAAGGCCCTTAGGAGAACGCCCAGTCTATTGAAACATGTTTCCTTGCCTCCAAGGTTCCCATCTTTTTCACGCAACGGTGCAAGCTTGTGATGGCGAAGATCCTTGTTGCCTGGTGGAGGGAAACCTTGCGTTGGGCTTGTCTCACGGCTACCTGGGGGGCGCAACCCGCCTTTCGAGGCGCCAGGTCGAAGAGTCGGCCTCTTGTTGGAGTTGCTTCCCTGAAGTTTCAGAAGAGAGTCCCATTTGTTGCTGGCTCGGTGCTGGATTCTCACTGCCGCAAATCTCGCAACAATGGCCACAAATCTACCGCCCAAAAAGATAAATCAATAAATAATACGCAAATCCCCCAAAAAAAAACTGGCTCCCTTGTTCAATCCGTCACGGGAGAGGGGGGCCGGGGATGGGGGGGGTTAGTGGGGTTTGTTCATCGCCGGCAGGAGGATGCCACGTTCAAGGCGCTGTCGGAGAGGCTTATGAAGGACGCTTCACCCGAAGCGGGCCATGCGTCGGGTTCAGGCCCTTTCGGGTTCAGGCCCTTTCTGAGGGGCCTGAGAAGCGGGGGAAATTCCGAAATGTTTCAACATGTCGAGACTTGTTGACGAGTATGCAGGTGATGACTGTATAGGATTCAAAGCAATACTTTCGAAAAAGAACAAACATTGGTTGGCCGATGAAACAATATTGCCCTCCAGTGCTATACCAACACATTGGAGCAAACGCATTACCAGTAAAGAAACAAACATATACAAACCACTTGCTTGCGTGCCACTAAAACTGGCCTTCCCATAAAGCGCGAGGTCCATAAACGCAACCCAAGGACCAAAGGTTTGGTCTGCCAGTTCTCCCAAGCGGCCATGGGGCACATGGCTCTTTGGGGTGGATGAACCTCCATTTGCCACCTTTGACGTTCACCCGGGGGGTATTGTGGGTCTTGACCACAGCCCAGTGACCCAAGTGACCGGGCGGCTGAGGAGATCGTGCAGCGGGATCACGAGGACGGGGACAAGTTGGCTAAGGGCATCCAGCTGGCCGTAGACAAGAAGGTCCTCCCCGCGGACGTGGAGGCGGGGAACTTTCTGGGTTTTGGAGGCCAGGGTTGTTAGGTTTGCCAGTGCCCTTCCTAACTTCTTGTTTTGTTTTGGTTGGGAGGGTTCCCCTAAAATAGACTACCGAAAAAGTTGGTGCCCTTATTCTAACCTCTCTGCTGGAGGACCTACCTGGATTTGGCCGCCAGGGGGGTTCTTGGATTGCCGCTTGCGCCAGGCAAAAGGAGATCCACATGACCAGCTTGTGTTGGTTGTTGGCTGTGGTGGTCCTGCTGGAATAGTTTGTGGTTTTGGCTTGGGCTGTTTCAGTTTGCTTTAGCAGGAAGGAACTTGAAGGGACGCAGCGCGGCTTATTTCGGCTCATACGTTCCCAGGCATCCTTTTTGCGAACAGCCCTGGTGTTGGTGGTTTTCTTTTATGGCGGTTGGGTGGGGTGCTTCCCGAGGGGGTGCACAGGGTCTCCTACTTGCCTTGATTTCCGTTTTGAAGGGGTCACTAGGGTTTTGTCGAATGGGGTGATGTTTCGAATTCGGCCCAAGGATATGGGAATCATGTCTTGTCAAACTTCAGGATTCAGAGGGTCCATTCATGATCACTGATGGTACATGAAACCGTTTAATCGTGGGCCTGGATAGTGAAAGCATCAGGGAGCCTTCCACTACAGCGATTGGATGGTGTTGGACCTCGAATCTTGAACCCAGTGTTTTTCAAGGTCCAAAGTTTCTGCTAGGGCCTAGGGTTGTGTGGACGTTTTGCTTGTGGGCGATGACAAGGGAGGGGGGTCCAAATCTTATCCAGGCACTAACCCTCGTCAAAGACAGATTCATAACACAGTCTTAATTCAAGTGGTCGGAAAAGCCCACTGTTGCTTGGATCTCATTGCCCGCAATGACAGGGGGTGATTGAGGAGATCAGAAGGTTCACCCCTTGCCACCCATCCACAATGGAGGGCAAGGTGGGTCTCGTTTCTTGACCGAGCAACTACTTAAATGAAGAGAGGGTTCAGTGGTAGGCGACCCAGGGATAACCCGAGGCTGACCCCCAATTCGCCGTTGTCACAAGGGGTGTGGACGATTCCACTATTCTAACCATCTAAGTTGGCGGATGGTTTGTTTGATTTTGCTTGGTTCTGGTGGCGGTTTGAGTGGGAACTGCCAAACAAATCTCATGCAGGTCTGCCAGCTTTCAGTTTCAAGAATGCCAACCCAAGGGTCCGAAATCTTCAAGAAACTCTTGGGTCCTTTGGGTTCCTTCCCCCCCGCTCCAGGCCCCCCCCCACGCCAGCCGCCCCCCAGCCTCCCCCCCCCCCCCCGCCTCCTCCCCCCCCCAGTGCCGCAGGTGGAGCCCATCACCAAGATCAGCGTCTCGGGGAAGACTCCGGACCAGGCGGTGTCGGTCGGGCGGGTCGGCGGTGGGGAATCGCTGGAGGCCGACTGGTAAGGATCCAATTCGGCATGGGCATAGGTGTCCCTTTTTTAGGTTAGTTTGCTTAGAAATAGATGGCACCGGTTAGATTGGCGCTGAGCTGTGCAGGTGAAAGCAGAGTTGGAGGCGGACTGGTCCAAAGGATCCAATTCGGCAATTCGAGACTTCGCCTGGGATTAACTGCCGAGGCTACGCAGGTTATAACTTTCAAGGTTATAACTGCCTGGGGTTTGCCTGGGCGAGCTGGCTTGCAACCATGGCCAGAACCTGAGGCTGAGCATCCAAGTGGTGGATCCGAATGAACAAAGGGGCTCTCGAACTGTTGGCACATCGCCACGGGTTCCGTTGGCAAAGGACGGAACACCCCACCCCCCGGGCCAGTTACACCTCTGTAGGTAGGCGGGGTGTCCTCCCAAGGAGATTCCTCTCAAAAATGGTTGCTTGTTTGGATTCACGCTAATCTGTGGGGGGGGGGGTATGACATCTTCAAAACTGGATGCAACAAACACCAAAAGGATCAGCGACCAGCCCCGGCCCAAAGGACCTCGAAATGACAGGCTAGCTTTGCGGGACCCGACTAAGACGACCAACCAAAAGAAGATTACACGCCCACAGGCTAACATGGGAGCTCCCGGAAGGCCTCCGTAAATGGAGCCAAGTCTTCCAAAGTCCTGGGAGCGTCCATGTTCTAGGAGAGGGTAGTCAGGGACGTGAGGACACGAGGCGGGTTCTGAGGAACTAGGTTCCGATCGCTTGCATGCGCGTAGCATCCGGTAGGGACAAATTTGGGGTCATGAGCCATCAGCCTCTTAACATGTTGGGAAACATGTTGCATTTTTGCTGATTGTGGTGGGAGATGGTGGGAGCTCCCCACTGAACTGCCAGAATTATTTTTTTTGCTCCCCTACCCTCGTCAACCAAGTTAATAGGGATGTTTGACGAACCATGTGTAAAGGTTCTCATTCAATGAGCCGTGGCATGCCATGACGACACAGGGGCTCACCAACCCCCGATCGGTTCGAATGCCAACGTTCACCCGGCTGGTAGTTTGACTGTTCAACGTGTCACCCCCAATCAGCACCCCAACACCACACAACACCCAAACCAACACCCCCCCGCAAAAAAAAAAAAAAAAAACGAAAACAAACACAGAAAAACACCTCCCCAACCTCCCCCCCCCCAGAAAAAAAGAAGAGACGGAAGAAACCCCCCACCCTCCCCTTTTTTCTCTGTCCATTTTAAGTGAGGTGGCGGACGAGATCATCAAGAGCCTCGGGGATGCCCCCTCAAAGGGATGCATCATGACGCTGCAGGGGCTCTCCGGCACCGGCCGCTTGGTGCTGGCGGATTTTGTTGGGGGGCGGAGTCCGCGCGGCTGTGGTGCCGAAAGGGGGGCCCAGGGGACTCGCGCGAACCCCCTGGGTGGTTTGTTCTTTCGGTTCCCCTTGAAATCAACCTGGAAAAGAGTAGCCTCAAAAAAAAAGCAATCAGGTCTTTGGTTTTGGACGTCCCCGTGAAACATCCATCAAGCCCAAAAGGAAGTGGCAGTGGCACTGGGCAACTGGGTTTTGGCGTGCTTTTGCTGTTTGTGGTAGTCAGATGTTGATCTTCTAGGATCGGTGTTTCAGGTTGAATCATGCTCGCAAGGTGAATCGGCTACCGAGTGAAAGCAGATTCGGCACACCTTCCTCTCGTTGAAAGAGATGAACAAACCGAAGCGGCGGGAGTTCAATCTAAGACCTCAACGACAAGAGGGCTCGAGTTGGGGGCATCTATGTTGGTGGATTTCAGTAGTCCCAGTGTTGCTCCAACTCAATCAATTGTCGATAGAACCAATCTAATCGACCCTAAACCCTAAG